TGTGTAGTAATTCTTTTTCAGCATAATGTTTTTAAAATATTTTCTGTATATGAGAAACTGTAGTAAAGACTTGCATATAGTGCTGAATAAAATAGTTAAGTATCTGCTCTCATGGAATGCACAGTTTTCAGGACTTGCAAGGAGAATATTTAAAAAATATATTAAGTCCAGTTGGAAAAGTGCTTTGAGGAAAAATATAGCAACATAAGGCGATAGAGAATAATGAAAAGGATTCAATTTTAGATACTAAAAAATAATAGTTGAAATATACAAAAGAATGGAAACTACTTCACCAATATACAAATAGTGAAAAAACAGTATATTAAGTGGATTATTTTGTGCTATTCTATTCAGGGTTTTTTTCTTTTATATATTTTAATGTAGCCTATTAAAATATCCCCACTTTGTTTTAACAACTTGTTTTGGTTAGAGATATTTGTTGAAGCATTTTATTGATTCTACCCTATTTTACTTTAATGGGATACATCACAATCTTGATTCTCTATAATAATATTCTGATCAGATCCTTGGAATACTGCAACTAATCCATAAATTAAAAAAATGCTTAAAGTATATTTTACAAAAGTGGAACAGTTAACAAAGGTAAATTACTGTATTGGAGTAGTGATGTATCTATTAAACTACTTTATTATCAACATTTAGAATTTTTTTTTTCTTTTTGGTCACACCCGGCGATGCTCAGGGATTACTCCTGGCTCATGCACTCAGGAATCATCCTGGCAGGACTCAGGGGACCATATGGGATGCTGGAAATCGAACCCGGGTTGGCTGCGTGCAAGGCAAATGCCCTACCCGCTGTGCTATTGCTCCAACCCCTATAAGTATTGTTAAGTTCATGAATTTATTAAATGATTTTTGATAGTTTTCTCTATAAATAATAGTACAGCTTTCTTTAAATGAAAGATTTTTTATAAATAAGTAGAAAGTCTTAATTTTATTTTGTCAAACAGTAAATGAGTAAGAGTTCAGGGTCAGAGATACAGTGCAGGAGGTAAAGTACTTGCCTTGCATGCAGTTTACCCTAGTTCAAATCTGCAGGACTACTTATGGTCCTTCACTTACCACTTGGCTCACTTCTGAGCACAAGGCCAGTTGTGGCCACTTAGCACGGTTGGGTGTCACCCTCAAGCCCAAAATGAAACAAATAGAGTTTCAGGTTTTGTAAGTTTAGTTAGACAAGGTTAGTGTGAAACAAAGCTCCATATCATACAAAGGAAGAGTTATTCTTAAATGCTATTTTTTTCCTTCCCCTCTTTTTGAAAAATCTTAAGTGATGAACTGTAGATGGCTTAGATAATTTTATCTATTATTTTAATTCAAACATTGTGGTTTACAAAGTTGTTCATAATACAGTTGTTCCAGGTACTCGGGCATTCCATGTTCCAACACTAACCCTACCACCTGTGTGACCATCCTTCCACCAATGCTCCCAGTTTTCCACTCACCCACCCTCAAGCCTGCCCCCTTAGCAGGCACAAATTTGTTGCTTGTTACAACAAAATGACAAATAGAATTATCAGAAAACAAATCAATAAAAGGTTTTTTGGGTTTTGTTTTAGATTTTGGTTTTTTGTTTTGTTTCTTGGGTCACACTTGGTGATGCTTCCTTCTGACTCTGCACTCAGGGATTGCTCCTGGCGGACTAAGGGGAAGATATGGATGCCTTGGGATCTGTACTATCACTTAGGCCCCAATTTATGATAAGTATTATATCTCATGGGCTGGAGCGATAGCACAGCGGTAGGGCGTTTGCCTTGCACGCAGCCAAGGTGGCCGACCCAAGTTCGATTCCTCTGGCCCTCTCGGAGAGCCTGGCAAGCTACCGAGAGTATCTCGCCCACACGGCAGAGCCTGGCAAGCTACCCGTGTTGTATTCGATATGCCAAACACAGTAACAACAAAGTCTCCAATGGAGATGTTACTGGGCCCGCTCGAGCAAATCGATGAACAATGGGAGGACAGTGACAGTGACAGATTATATCTCATAGTGATATTACTAAAGTCATTGAGGATTTCCTGAGCTAGTTAGTGCTGGTTAAATCTTCTGTGTTATTTTCAGTCATTGAGCTTGCTGAAAACACAGCTATCCCATTAAAGTTGCTATGCTCCAGCTGGCTGTTAGTACCATAAAATTTGGAGGAAGTGACACAGCATATGCAGCCGAGCACTCCAGGACCTATAGAAGTGGGGCCATTAATATGTTGGAGGAGGTCTGCTGTGGCGGCTGTTGGGCCCATCTGGAAGGGAGGGGAATCTGCTTCCCCCATTTGGAAAAGGTCACATTGATCATTTGACAGCTTGATGGCTTAAAGAACTAATAATTTTATTCTATGAAACATCTAATTTCCTAGGATTTAGTCAATAACATATTTGAGTAAAATATTTTGTTAGGACTCATAACCTTCAGATTCAGATTCATAATTCAGACATTATGTTGAAGCGTTCGTATCTAATACTTCTGTTTTGTACATTTCTTTACAACTAATGTAATTTTTGTTAAGAATGAAAAAAGTACAAGGACTTAGCACAGAGAACCAGCCGCTTGGAGCAGAAAAGCAAATGGACTTGTGTTGATCCGCGCCACCAAGCCTGCCCGGAGGGGGAAGGGCGTTGACCAGCCCGCCCGTTCCTCTCTGGAAAGAAAGATGGCGGCCGCACGGGAGCCTTGTGGAAAGCGGGTTTGAGCCGGGCTCGGGGGGGGGAGCAGCGGGGACCTCATGGGAAGGGGGGCTTTGTGGGCCGTCCCCCACGCCCCACCGGGGTCGCCAGCTGCCCCCCACGAGCGGCTCTCCGGCACGGCCACGGCCCCGGAGGCACAAGGACTTAGCACAGAGAACCAGCCGCTTGGAGCAGAAAAGCAAATGGACTTGTGTTGATCCGCGCCACCAAGCCTGCCCGGAGGGGGAAGGGCGTTGACCAGCCCGCCCGTTCCTCTCTGGAAAGAAAGATGGCGGCCGCACGGGAGCCTTGTGGAAAGCGGGTTTGAGCCGGGCTCGGGGGGGGAGCAGCGGGGACCTCATGGGAAGGGGGGCTTTGTGGGCCGTCCCCCACGCCCCACCGGGGTCGCCAGCTGCCCCCCACGAGCGGCTCTCCGGCACGGCCACGGCCCCGGAGGCACAAGGACTTAGCACAGAGAACCAGCCGCTTGGAGCAGAAAAGCAAATGGACTTGTGTTGATCCGCGCCACCAAGCCTGCCCGGAGGGGGAAGGGCGTTGACCAGCCCGCCCGTTCCTCTCTGGAAAGAAAGATGGCGGCCGCACGGGAGCCTTGTGGAAAGCGGGTTTGAGCCGGGCTCGGGGGGGGGAGCAGCGGGGACCTCATGGGAAGGGGGGCTTTGTGGGCCGTCCCCCACGCCCCACCGGGGTCGCCAGCTGCCCCCCACGAGCGGCTCTCCGGCACGGCCACGGCCCCGGAGGCACAAGGACTTAGCACAGAGAACCAGCCGCTTGGAGCAGAAAAGCAAATGGACTTGTGTTGATCCGCGCCACCAAGCCTGCCCGGAGGGGGAAGGGCGTTGACCAGCCCGCCCGTTCCTCTCTGGAAAGAAAGATGGCGGCCGCACGGGAGCCTTGTGGAAAGCGGGTTTGAGCCGGGCTCGGGGGGGGGAGCAGCGGGGACCTCATGGGAAGGGGGGCTTTGTGGGCCGTCCCCCACGCCCCACCGGGGTCGCCAGCTGCCCCCCACGAGCGGCTCTCCGGCACGGCCACGGCCCCGGAGGCACAAGGACTTAGCACAGAGAACCAGCCGCTTGGAGCAGAAAAGCAAATGGACTTGTGTTGATCCGCGCCACCAAGCCTGCCCGGAGGGGGAAGGGCGTTGACCAGCCCGCCCGTTCCTCTCTGGAAAGAAAGATGGCGGCCGCACGGGAGCCTTGTGGAAAGCGGGTTTGAGCCGGGCTCGGGGGGGGGAGCAGCGGGGACCTCATGGGAAGGGGGGCTTTGTGGGCCGTCCCCCACGCCCCACCGGGGTCGCCAGCTGCCCCCCACGAGCGGCTCTCCGGCACGGCCACGGCCCCGGAGGCACAAGGACTTAGCACAGAGAACCAGCCGCTTGGAGCAGAAAAGCAAATGGACTTGTGTTGCTCCGCGCCACCAAGCCTGCCCGGAGGGGGAAGGGCGTTGACCAGCCCGCCCGTTCCTCTCTGGAAAGAAAGATGGCGGCCGCACGGGAGCCTTGTGGAAAGCGGGTTTGAGCCGGGCTCGGGGGGGGGAGCAGCGGGGACCTCATGGGAAGGGGGGCTTTGTGGGCCGTCCCCCACGCCCCACCGGGGTCGCCAGCTGCCCCCCACGAGCGGCTCTCCGGCACGGCCACGACTCCAGGACACAGAAACCAATCTCTTAACTAGCTAACTTCTAATAGAAATTCTTCCAGGGTCAATAAGTAAAATAGCAGAAATTCAAAACCGCGCGGCCGCTATCGCGGCCGCGCGACATCATTTTATTCTTAAACCAAGTTGTAGAAAGCAAATCATTTCACAACGCTGTTTCAGCATGTCTGATTGGGGGGGGGGGTGGGTCGTAAACTCTTAACAATAATTGTGCATCTTTTATCGAAATAATCTATCTAGTCAAAGTAGATAGAGTATTAACTAGAACTCATCTACCTCACAAGAATTGGGAGGGGTGGGAGGTGGGGGTCTATTGGGGTTCGGGGTTAAAAATGAGTATCGGTAAAGGGAAATGTGTTCGGTATCTACATGACTGAGACCTAAACCCGAAAGCTCTGTAACTTTTCCCACAGTGATTCAATAAATAAATAAATTATAAAAAAAAAAAAAAAAAAAAAAAAAATACATACAAAAAAAAAAAAAAAAAAAGAATGAAAAAAGTTAGTACTTGAAAGTTAAAATTATTGTTTTCATCTTATCCAAAGTCAATATAATGTAAGTTTTCCAGAGAAGTTATTAATACATTGATGAATACATTGGAAAATTTTAGATTGTCATTTTCTGTATTAATGCTGCTTTTCTCTCCCCCAGTTTACAGATATGATCCACAACTATACATGAATTACTTTGGTTAATTCGCGTGAACTTTTGATAATGAGTGGTGCAGCTTTGGGACTCGAGATTGTTTTTGTCTTTTTTCTGGCATTATTCCTACTTCATCGCTATGGAGACTTTAAGAAGCAGCATAGACTTGTAATTGTTGGAACACTGCTAGCTTGGTATCTCTGCTTTCTTATTGTCTTCATACTGCCTCTGGATGTCAGTACGGTAAGAGTTTAATAAACCAGTTTTCACAATTTAAAAAACAGTTGCAATCATAGAGCATGTTTGTATGATAGCGAAATTATGGAAGGCTATATACTTATATATTTAATTTAAATGTGACTTTGTGAATTTGATGACTGAAAATCATAGCCAGTCAGGTAATTTGTGGTGGATGGGTTGTTACTGCCAAGATTCTTTAAATACTTGGTAGCTTTAGATTTCTATTTATAGACCTCCTTCAAAATGCTTCTTATTTATGTTTTTTAGACAATATACAACCGGTGCAAACATGCTGCAAACTCAAGTCCTCCTGAGAATAACAACAGTACAGGATCATATGCAACTGCTACACCAGTTCCAAGGTAGTTACTTTGTGTGCATGTGTGTGTGTGTGTGTGTGTGTGTGTGTGTGTGTGTTATTATTGTAAGTAGGAAATTATTGATGTTCGTTTTTACCATCTGAATTTTATATTTGTAAATGACTTCTTTTTATCCCTACCTCCTTTTTTTGCTAGCAGACTTTTATTTACCTAGTATCCTATTTAAATTGTTTGAAATTTAAACATTGGTTCACCTGGCACTTCAGATGCTAAAGAGAAACTTGGAGATATGATTTGTCAGTCTTGGTCCTGTACCTTAGCATAAAGGTAAAGGTAAAGGCCCTCCCATTGATCGTCGATTTGCTCGAGCGGGCCCAGTAACGTCTCCATCGGAGACTTTGTTGTTACTGTGTCTGGCATATCGAATACTCTCGGTAGCTTGCCGGGCTCTCCGAGAGGGGCGGAGGAATCGAACTCGGGTCGGCCATGTTGGCCGCGTGTAAGGCGAACGCCCTACCCGCTGTGCTATTGCTCCAGCCTTAGCATAGATACTTTTTTTTTTTTGGTCACACCCGGCAATGCACAGGGGTTACTCCTGGCTCAGTGCTCAGGAATTACCCCTGGCAGTGCTCAGGGGACCATATGGGATGCTGGGAATTGAACCCGGGTTGACCGCATGCAAAGCAAACGTCCTACCCGCTGTGCTATTGCTCCAGCCCCAGCATAGATATGATTTTAAAGAACTATTTTTCTTCTTAGTCCTTGATCTGAAAAAGATAAAGCATGTATTTTGTATTTTACCTGGTTTATAAGATTGTAATGAAGGACAAGGAAGTTATTCTTTAGGGTATTCCTTTATATTGTGCATTTTTTGAAACCATTAAAATTTCTCACCAAGGTAAAGATCTAATTTTGAAAAGATTACATTCAGGTCATATTAAACATCTAAGTTTAAAAAAATGTAGAAGATAGTTTTTTTTTCAGTGTTTTAAGTTTTATCACATGCAGCTTTTATTTTTCAGAAATGTAACTTGGGTAAGGATAAATTTAAATATATACTTTACTCCCTTTTATGCATTATTAAAAATTGGTTGTGGATCAGTAGCATTTGTGGATTGGTGAAAGTCTTTGGACTGAAGGATGTCCTTATAGTCTGAAAAGTTTGACTGTTCATAAAAACCCTACCATAAGAGACATATCTTCAGAAAATTCAATCAGAATTACATATATAATAAATGTTGTCATGTATCTCCATCAGAGCTATGCTCTACTAACTAGTTAATTTTCCAGCTTTCAGGATTTACCTCCGCTACCCCCCAAAAACAAAATCATCTAACAGATGGAGCTAATGTACATTTAGGTGAAAATTGTGTCCTTTTTAGCCATTGACTAAAAATATACTGAACGTTAAAGATTCAGTATTTATTTTTTTCTAGAATAAACGATTTGGGTTTCTTTGTGTGTAGATTTGTAGTTTGGTGGTCAGCTCTGAATTTTAAGTTTTCTGTGAGATAGTACTGGTTGGAGTCAGTGATTCAAAATATAAATGTAAATGGACTTTACTGCACACAATTTATTGTAGATTTATTTCAGTAGCCATCATTTATGATTAACTGATATTAAATTGTTAATGTTAAGCAGCCACCATCCATGTTTCAAGCCCTGGAGTTACATTCCTGATGGAATCATGCCAATTTTCTGGAGGGTGGTATACTGGACTTCACAATTTTTAACATGGTAAGTGATACTGAAGTTTTTGCTGGTAAGGATATGTAAGTTTTTGCTGGTAAGGAAAAAAGTGATAATTTTTTTAGTAAAGCTTCATACTTTAAAATTTATTCTTATTAATTTATTTCCCCTTTAGTCTGTATGTCTCTTCTTTCCAATTCTTCCATCTTGAAAGAAAAATGACAAACAAGAAAAAGAAACAGTAAAAATTTTTCTTGTCACTATTTTTCTTTAATTGTCACTACTTTTCTTCAGTTTTTGCCTTGTCTCATAAATCTTCATGTGGGTCATGAACTGCCTTTCCTAAGATTATTTTTATCTCCATTTCTTTGTTTCTACTTGTCCAACCTTCTGAAGTTCCTTCTTGTATCCATTTCTGTGGTTCATTTATTAAATGTTGGTGTTCCTTGCAGACTCATTCTGCACCCTACTGCAGCCTCAAGTGCAGGGGCTATTTCCTTCTGCCGTAGGAACATTTCCAGGGGCTGGGAACACTTTGACTTGTCAAAGTGGACAGAGCTGCTTAGGGACTCGAGGTTTAAAACAAAAGTTTTTTAATGTCGTTGTTCCCTGGATTTGTACCTTTGGTCACTTGTCATTTGATACTCTTTCCATAGCTTCGGTTATAACCCTGGTTTCACTGAAGCATGAGTTTCTCTGATCTAACTCACCCCTGTGTCTCCAGACTATTTTTTCTCTGCCTGCTGAGTTTAAATGCTCTGCAGGCAACTGAGCTCTACAAGTGGAGTCAGTGACTATCAAAAGAGAAAAGTCATGCAATAATATAGAGTAATGGCTCTGTGTATCATATTCATTAAATTTAACTTGGCCTTCTTCTACAGTGTTAGACTCCCCTTCTTTGTTTGCTCTTTACTCTCTTTTGAAAAGAAAAAATTTGTTGTTCCTTTTGTTGCTCCCTACTCTGTGCCCAAGAAATAATTAACTTTTAGCATATAACTTCACTTTATACCTCTCAGTGAAAATATGTTATCAGATGGGAGGTCTTTCAGATTTTCAGAAACAAATGCGTTTTTCGTTCCTATCCAAAAATGGACAAGTTATTCTAGTATTACTAAAGTTAATACTACTTGCTAAAATGTGGATCCATTCCAGTCATCAGTTGTTACATATTACAGCTTCCAGTTTCAAACAAAGCATGCACAACTCATTTTTCTAAAAAAAAGAAAATCCAGGGGAATCAGAGGGAGAATTCCAGTAAACTATGATGGAGGATATTGGTACTTTGGTAGTGAGTGTAGTACATACTGCTAGTTTACTACTGAATAAACTAATGTTATCACACATACACAAACACACACACAAATCAGATGAATCTTCTGTGATTTTTTTCTTCTCAATGATATACTACTTTTTATTTCAACTTGTTGGATACTTTTTAAAAAATTTTATTATTATTATTGGGCTGGAGTGATAGCATAGCGGTAGGGCATTTGCTTGTGCGCAGCCAGCCCGGCCAAGCCCGGTTCCGATTCCTCAGCCCCTCTCAAGAGAGCCCGGCAAGCTGCCCATGACGTATCTCACCCACAGCAAAGCCTGGCAAGCTACCCGTGACATATTCAATATGCCAAACACAGTAACAACAAGTCTCAAAATGGAGACGTTACTGGGCCCGCTCAAGCAAATCGATGAACAATGGGAGGACAGTGTTTGTGTTTGTTATTATTATTATTACTGTTTTGCTTTTTGGGTCACATTTGGCGATACTCAGGAGTTACTCCTGGCAGTGTTCAGGGGAACATATGGGATGCTGGGAATAGAACTCAGGTAGGTCGAGTGCAAGGAAAACGCCCTACTCACTGTGCTATTGCTCCAGCCCTCTTGGATACTTTTTAAAGATTAAAACACAGAGAAGTGTAAAGATTGTGTTTAGTTTATTCACTATGTTTATTCATTACTTTCAGAGTGAATAAACATTGAACCAACTTTCAGATGATGATGTAGAATATTAGCAATGTCTTCTGAAATCTCCCTCATACACCTTTCAGATTCTTATCCTGTACAAAAGCATCCCTGAATTTTGACTGAGTCGTTGATTTATGCCTACTTTTGAATACTCAGGGCCTTTTAGAAGACTCACCTTCAGTCATTCATATTGTTTACTTTCTGCTGATCATTGTGGGCTTTGCTCTCTCCCATTTTTAGTGCCTTTGTTCTCCGTCAATTTAATATTTAAAAAACTCAATTATCTGTTATTATTTATTTTTATTAGTGATCATATTTTTGAAAAAAACTATTTGTTAAAATTAAGATTCTTATATTTTTGGAATTATGCAAATATCACAAGCATTTTTTTTTTATTAGTGAAACACCATGAGGTACAGTTGTAGATTTACCAACTTTTGTGCTTGGGTTTCAGTTATATGATGATTGAGTACCCATCCTTCCACCAGTGCCCATTCTCTACCACCAATGATCCTAGTAGCCCCCCTCCCCCCCAGTGTGGCAAGGTATTCCCTTTTGCTCACTCTTTCCTTTAGGGTGTTAACAAGCATTTTCTAATCACAATTTTTTCCATCTAGGATTCTATTACCTTTTATGCAGTCCTATGCAAGATCAGGAGGATTTTCCATCACTGGAAAAATTAAAACTGCACTAATAGAGAATGCAATCTATTATGGTACCTACTTACTGATTTTTGGAGCATTTTTAATTTATGTAGCTGTAAACCCACGTTTGCACTTAGAATGGTAAGAAAAGTTAACACTGTTTGTATGTTTATATTTGTTAGATTAGTTTTTCTCATATATGTGGGTACTATATTTTGCAAAAAAATATTTCTTGCAGGGTTTTTAGGTTCTCAAAAAAATGCATAAGTATTCCATGTTACTAAGAAGGCTTTATATATAGCTCAGACAGATGACTAATACTTTATCTAACAACTGTGTTAAAAATATTAGCCATTAAGATTTTTGATAGAAGTTCAAATTTTGTACATGACAGAATAACTGTATTTTTAAAATTAGAATTGATGAAAACCTTTTTTTCCCCTTACTACTTTGAGGGCATATTTATCATTTTTTCATCCCCTATCACCAGGAGTTCCTAGTAGTGGGACTGTCAGGATTGCCTCAGCATATGCAGCAGCACTTGGTATTGAGTGCTTTAAACCAGTGAATCCTCTTTCAGTCCTCCACATATTTCTCTCTAATGTCAAATTTAGACATTGCTATACAACCGAAATCTGTACCAAATCTGAGTACGCATGAAGGGTTAGCTATGAAAGATTCAGCAATAGATTTATGTAGATCTGCCTGAGTACAAGTTTAAAAATTTGGTCAGCCTTCTCACAATATGAAATAAGAAAATATAGAATTTCCTTCCAAAATAAATGATACATCTCTCTTGCAGTGAATTATCGTAGGTTCTAATTTTAACTAAATAGCTGTGTTTCCTATGTTTTAATTCTTATATGCAATCCCTCTCAACATTCTATGAAAACAGACTATCTTACTAAATAAGTAGGTCTGATTTCTCATATAAAATCCTACCCATCCTTTATAGGTCAGTTTTTTTTTTAAAAAAAAACTTCTTAATACCAGTTAGAATTACTAACTGTAGAAAGAACCTATCTTTCATAGCTATCTGCTTATGTTTTCTCTTTTTTAGGAACCAACTTCAGACCATTGGTATAGCTGCTGCAAATACATGGGGTCTATTTCTTCTTGTGTTGCTATTGGGGTATGGTTTGGTGGAAATTCCTCGGTCATACTGGAATGGAGCCAAAAGGGGTTATCTTCTTATGAAAACTTATTTTAAGGCAGCCAAATTGATGACAGAGAAAGCAGATGCAGAAGAGACTTTAGAAGATGTCATGGAAGTAAGTTTGAACCTCACAGACAACAGTCAGCAAGTTGTATGTATCTCCTTTTGGCTACACGATTGGCTTATTCCCACTGTGACCCCCCCCCCATATACACATTGATGTACTTTAGACTAAAAATACGGCAGTGTGCAATTCTGCAGAATATCTCTTCCATTAGGATGACTACTTATTGGCAGTTTAATTGCATGACATATCTCTGCCTATTGACTCAGAGATTCAAGAAGAATTTTATCAACAGTTCAGGGTTATGCTCGTTTTCTTAGATTTTTTTTTTCATAGTTTCCTCTTATGTGCTCAACATTTTACCAGGTTAGTTGAGTTATATGGTTACATTGATAGAGTAGAAGTGAAAATAACAATCTGAAAACATTTCTTCCTGAGAATTTATCCACCAAATCTGAAAATCTCTTTAGAGAATTTCTCTTACTGAATAGTTCAGTAATTAAGTAATTAAGTAATCTGCAATCTTAATAAGGCAAGGCATTTAATTTTCACAGCAACCATCATGGTCATGGTCACGGTCCTCCCGTTGTTCATTGATTTGCTCCAGCGGGCCCAGTAACGTCTCCATCATGAGACTTCTTGTTACTGTGTTTGGCATATTGAACACGTCACGGGGAGCTTGCCAGGCTTTGCCATGCGGGCAAGATACTCTCGGTAGCTTGCCGGGCTCTCCGAGAGGGGCAGAGGAATCGAACTCGAGTCAGCCATGTTGGCTGCGTGCAAGGCAAACGCCCTACCCGCTGTGCTATCGCTCCAGCCCCACACCAGCCATATAAGGGAGATTTTTTCAATCCCCATTTTGAAAGTTTTAAAAGAAGAAAACTAGACATAGAGAACTAAATCAGTTTCTCTAGCTAGTGAGTGATATAGTTAAGAAGTCTAACTTTAGTTTAGACTAACTTTGGTCTAAATTTAGTTTTATGTGCCTTATGATTTCTATGCACGCAATGCCATTCTCACTGCAGCATGAACGCAGCCACATGCAATACATAAATGGATTTAAATTGATGAGCATGGCTGTATTCCAGACAAGAACAGGCAATAGATCAGCAGTGCCAATGCCCACTCTTCACTTACTCACAATCTCTCATTTTCTTTGAGAAAATTCTGAAATTATTGAGAATGGCCTATTCTCTGTTCTTTAGATAGTCCTTATTTCATTTTCAGGTCTCAACATAGTGGTAATTCTTTTTTGTTGTTGTTGTTTTTGTTTGTTTTTGGGGTCATGCTGGCTTTACACAGGGGTTAATCCTTCCTCATGCACTCAGGAATTACTCCTGGCAGTTCTCAGGAGACCAAATGGGATGCTGGGAATCGAACCCGGGTCGGCCACATGCAAGACAAACGCCCTACCTGCTGTGCTATTGCTCTAGTCCCCATAGTGGTAATTCTTGGTTTCATGGGGCTGCCATATCAATGTAGCACAAACTGGCTTGTTTCAGTAACAGAATGTTAATGTCTCCGTCTTAGAGGGTATGAACAGGATCGTCTCTCTCTAAGGACTATGGGCATATGTATGCTGTGCCTCTTTTCTAACTTCTGATAGTATGCTGGCAATTTTTGATGTATTTTGGCTTCTAGATTTCTGCCTTCATATTCATATGGTGTTCCCCTGTGTGCTTGTCTGCCTCCAAATTTCACATTTATTAAAGGATATCAGTCATGAGATTGGGGGTCCACCTCACTCTAATTAAAAACCTTTTGTAATTTAATCAATTAAATCTGCAATAATTCTATTTTCAGATAAGATCACATTCTAAAGTACTCAGGGTTAGAACTTAAGCTAAAGAGTTGGAATTGGCTTAGGTCACAATTCAATCCATGATACCTTCTTTGGTCTATCAAACTGTTAGACATTTATCAACCATTTTATTAAGTGAGTCACTAAATAAAAGAATCTGTACTGTTACTGAAATTTCATTTTCCTTCTTTGAGCATTTGGTTTATAAAATACAAGTACTGAAGTAGAAAGCATCGAATCAAAGTGTAGACTTAAATATAAATAATATTTCAGATTTATGGTAGATATTGGTGTATTTTTCAAAAAATAATTTGAAAATAATTTTGTTTAATTGTTTGTTTGATATATTTGAAAATGTACATTTTGAGTTTCAAAAATTGAAAACTTGGGGCTGGAGCAATAGCACAGCGGGTAGGGCGTTTGCCTTGCATGCAGCCAACATGGCCAACACAGGTTCGATTCCCATCATCCCATATGGTTCCCTGAGCACCGCCAGGAGTGATTCCAGAGTGCATGAGCCAGGAGTAACCCCTGAGCATTGCCGGGTGTGACCCAAAAATCAAAAAACAAAAACAAAAATTGAAAACTTATGTTGTCAATAAAATAATTAGAAGGCTATTTTCATTTCATAGTGTTTCCCTCCAAAATTTGTACTCAGTTTACTTGTTTCAGATTTTTGCCAGTTTAACAGTAAAAGGAATGGTATATATATGGTATATATATATATAATTTGAAAATAATTATATATATATACTAAGTAGTAGAAGTTGAAATTAAACTTTTAAGAATATGTGTATTATTAGAATATTCTTGAAATATTTTCCCTCTAGAGATGTACGTTTTTTTTTTTTCCTACAGGAGGTTCGCAAAGTGAATGAAAGCATCAAGTATAACCATCCATTGAGAAAATGTGTTGACACAATACTAAGAAAGGTAATAAGTCATATACTCATCTGTTTCTTTGAAACATAATTTATTATAATAATTGTATACAGAGTATATAGAATCATTCTATGATTGAAGTATTCCTAGTTCTTTCCCATTTTCTTTAAATGTGAACCATAAACCAATAGTAATTAGTACATGGAATTCATTCTTATTTATTACAGGTTTAACAATTATTCGCAATTTTTTCTATCAGAATGGGTACAGTGGTCATGTTAAGTATCCACTTGTAAAAATAAAGTGGGGCTTCAAAAACTCTTAATCATATTCTTTTGTGTCATTTTATACTGTTCTATCACAAAATGACATTTTAATGAATAATTATGAATAATTTTAAAATGAGTAATTTTGACATATTTAACATAAGTACTGAATAAGAAACCACCATGCAATTAAGGTTTTTATTCATTGGCATTAAATTAGGGTATTATATCCTTCCAAAAGGTATTATTTCAGAAGTGAGACTTTTCTATTTTGCAATCACTAGACTATTTTTTTTCTTATTTTTTAAATCTTTTGTACTGATTAGTTCTCTTTCATTTTGGCAAATAGTATTAAAAAACTAAGTCTCAAGTCATTTTTCTCTTTTTTAATACCCTTGAGACTAATTCAGAGAAAAGTTTTTTTGCCCAGGTCCATATAATAGTTTCTTTGTATTATTCCTTTCAAAAAGTCAGCCATTTAGATGTGTTGTGATTCTTTATTACTGACTTAGGAACATAACTGGGTTTTACTAAGTACATGCATAGAGCAAATGTAGATAGAGCAGAGGTGCCCACATTTTGAATACCAGTTGCTTTATGTGTATGTGTTTTCCTGACCTACACATCCCCAGTGACGGTGAACATAAAGATTAGAGTCAGTACAAGTAAAATATGTCTTTTACAGCATTGTCAAGAAAGCATCGGTGACTAAAAATGTGCCAACTAAAAATCCCCAGCTGGTTCAGGGATTCAGTACAATGGCTTGAGTATGCAGGGCTGCTTGGTTCTGGGGGCCTCTGGGACACATCCACTGCTCAGGGGTCTCTAAGGCTGCACATGGCAATGTTCAGGGGACCATATGATGCCAGGAATTGAACCTGTGGTCGGTGTACCCCAGCCTTTGTACCGTCTTACCCCATAAAGTAGCTGTTTTTAAGGAAATCAGAAATGCCCATGGTTGAAATATTTTTAATAAAAATAAAATCGTTATCTTTTTTGCAAGTGACAATTGTGACTGTGTTTGGCATATCGAATACGTCACGGGTAGCTTGCCAGGCTTTGCCGTGAGGGCAAGATACTCTCGGTAGCTTGCTAGGCTCTCCGAGAGGGGCAAGTAAGATTTAAGAGAAAAACTTCTTGATCGTTTCAGTGCCCTGTAGAGTATCAGGAAAAAATGGGGAGGAATATGGACGATTATGAAGATTTTGAAGAAAAGCATAATACCTACCCTAGTGAAAAGAGTCTTGTGAAGCTACATAAACAGGTAACTTTAATAATTTCATCTATCTTACTTACTGGTGGTTTTAGATTCATAGTTACTATCCACAAAATGCTATTTTGAGTGAAGTTGTATTCGAAACGTCTTTGAATTTTCCTTATTGTTAATCCCCTTTCCACCTTCCCTTTGTTGCTCTTGTGGCAAAGATAAGGATTGCATGTATTGTCTGAGTGTTCACTAGGGAGGGACTCTCACACTTTAGTAGCGGTGCTTGCATGTGTGTGCTTGGCTAGGGACCACACTTATTTCTTTGTTACCACAACAACAATAGATTCTTTTTTAAAAAAATTTTTTTAATTTGTATTTTTTAAATCAAATCACCGTGAAATACAGTTGCAAGCTTTCATGTTTTTGATCATACAATGATCAAACACCCATTCCTCCACTAGTGCACATTCTCTACCACCAATGTCCCCAGTATACCTCCCCTTTCCAATCCTCCCTCTGCTCCCATGGCAGATGATTTTCCCCATACGCTCTCTCTACTTTTAGCCATTATGGTCTGTAATACAGATAATAAGAGGTTATCATGTTTGGTCCTTTATCTACTTTTAACACACATCTCCCATCCCAAACGATTCCTCCAACCATCATTGACTTAGTGATCCTTTTTCTGTTCCAGCTGCCTTCTCCCTTAGCTCATGAGACATGCTTCCAACCATGGGGCAATATTCCTGGCCTTTGTGTCTACTGTCCATCTCATACTATGTTATTTTATATTCCACAAATGAATGCAGTCATTCTATATCTGTCCCTCTCTTTCTGACTCATTTCACTTAACATGATATTCTCCATGTCCATCCACTTATAAGCAAATTTCATCTCTCCTAACAGCTGCATAGTATTCCATTTTGTAGATGTACCAACGTTTCTTTGACCAGTCGTCTAATAACATATTCTTGTTCGAGTTTTTGCCCAGGGCTCTCTGTGGCACTTACACATGTGTTTTCCTCAGTCACACTCCTGGACACAGTGCTCACACACCTATGGAAATTGCAGTGCTTACAGGGGATTGCACACTTTAGTTGCAGTGGTTGCACACACCTATGTAAATGTACACTGGAGAATGCACATTCTTTTGAGGTATCAGGGATCCCAAATAACAGAACCACAAATATGTGGGAGTGCCACATGAAGAACCCCATGGCGTCATGTATAGAGAGCAGGTGATTTTTGACACCAAGTTGTCCTTTGAACCCTAATTATCATTGTTCCTTGAAGTATTTTGACTTTGTGTTTTTTAACAGGGGTAATATTTGGAAAGGGTGATGCTTTTTGTCTTTGAGCCTAACTTTGCATGTTGTAGAGTATTAACATTCTTATCTCTGCCTGTTAAATGTCATTAGTACTTGCTCATTGTTATGACAGCCAAAAAACACTGCCTTGTAGGGCACTGATGGATCAGAATACGGAAGGGCATACTCATTCTGGGTTTTTTTTTTTTTTTTGGTTTTTTTGTTTTAGGTTATTTATGCAGTTCAGCGGCATCGTCGAACTCAAGTACAGTGGCAGATTCTTTTGGAACAAGCATTTTACCTAGAAGATGTAGCCAAAAATGAAACTAGTGTTACCCATCAGTTTGTTCACACCTTTCAGTCACCGGAGCCAGAAAATAGATTAACTCAGTATTTTTATAATCCTACAGTTGGTATGTAGTTTGATACAAATTTCAGCTTATTAAATGATAATTTTTTGAAGGAAAAAATACACTTTCACCAATTTGGCATTTCATTTGTATTTGTATATACCATGTGTGCTGATATTATATGTCTGATAAGCTTCCTCTTTATAAACTATTTTACTTGTCATAAATATAAAATCTGTTAGTTTTTATTGTTATTGTACATATAATCAAAATTATATTTTAAAGTATCTCAGCATGTTAAGTATATTTCATATCCATATTTGATGTTATAATAGTTGCATTTTTAGTTTTTAGTGAAGCAAAATATTTTTATTGAAAGGAATTTAATTAGAGAAATGTGAGTGAGAGAAAGAGAGCAATACATGTTCAAGAGAGAATACTGACTTTTCCAGTGGAGAGAAAGCCAATAATTGGAATTTTAAGCAATTTTACAAGTTTGGATCACTGCTACAAGTTTGGATCACTGCTTCATTCTCAAATTGCTGCTAAAATATTCTCCAAAGATATTCTCTTTTGATTATTTACATTTATTAGTCTGTTTACAAGAGCTATACTCAAGAGTCATCATTACTGTATTTTTCTTATTAATTATATGGCACTCCAGAATTTAAAATGCTTATTGATGATGAAGAATATGCAGAAATAAAAATTCCCAGTGAACTAGGAGGAAAGCTACGATAGCACAAGGAGTGTCTTGAGAAAGCGCATGTTTAAAATACCATTTCAAAGATTAACAATAGGCTGGCCCTTGTGCTGGAGACATAATACAGGTACTGAGTACTTGCCTTGCTTTCTGTCAACCCTAGTTCTGTCCTGGTCCTCCAGGTATCACCAGTGTTAGTTTCCTGAACTCAGAGCCAGGAAAAAGCCTTGAGGCCCCAAGACAAAATACTGATTTTCACAATTACTAACTTGACCATTAGACTTCAGATAGGTTAGGTGCGACCTTACATAAAGTGGTAAATGGAAAGGAAAGTATAAAAACAGATGCAAGATCTTCAGAGGTTAGAATTGGGGAAGTTCTTTTCATCTAGATTCTATTTTAAATGAAGAATTGAAGAGATTTTGGAAACTTGAGGAAAGAAGAGATGTCATAAAATATTTGCTTAGGACAGTGGACATAGAAGATTGGTGAATGATAACAGGTTAGCCAGTTACTGCTCAGTGTCCATTTGAAGCTAATGATTAATTTAAAGAAAGAACAGATTAATCAAGTTGTTTCTTTAACTCTTGCAATGTGCCACTCTCTAGATGTAAACTCATTGAAGCTTGGGATTTGAATCTCTCCAGGCTGTGGCTTAGCTTAGCAAGTAGAAAGGAGAAAGTAGTAGAAATCTTAGTGGTGTTTATCCCAGAGACTGTGGAATCCAAGATAGGTTTGAGAAAGCAGTTAGGATACCAGGATGTTAAGGGATGTGAAGTGATGTTAAACATTATAAAGGTGATAGAATAAATGGACTGTTAGTCCAGGTAGAGTCATAAGCAGACTTAGAATACTTGAAGAAGATAGTGCTTTTAAGCAGGAATTTATACTGAGTTTATAAAGAATGGTTGGAGTTATTGGCAGTCTAGGGATGAATATGAGAATGAGTTGTTGAGGAAAAGTGAAGGACAAAATATTTGGAAAAGAGATTCAGAAGTGAAAAACCAGGGAACTGATAGGATAGTTTATGTAGATATTGAAATGGCTTGGAATTATATGAGTTGAAAAGTGAGCCAGCTGCTCCAAGTCCTCAGTGAATGAGGTTGAAAATGTGGTGTTCTCAATTTTGTAAGGTTGCTTTTCTTTATTTTTAAATTTTATGTAGAAGTCAAACTTAGAAAAAGTATCCGATACAATGCAACGATTGTCATATAATCTTGTCTTGGTTACTCCAATGTTAACCTTTTACTGTGTATTCTTTTTCTTTCTATTTATATTTATCTTTTCAGAGTTAAATGTCAATATAATGCTTCTTTGATCCTAACTATTTAGTGTATAAGTAAAGTAAAGTACAGGCCCTCCCGTTGATCATCGATTTGCTCGAGCGGGCCCAGTAACGTCTCCATTGGAGACTTTTGTTGTTACTGTGTCTGGCATATCAAATACTCTCGGTAGCTTCCAGGCTCTCCGAGAGGGGCGGAGGAATCGAACTCGGGTCGGCCATGTTGGCCGCGTGTAAGGCAGACGCTCTACCCGCTGTGCTATCGCTCCAGCCCAGCACAGCGGTAGGGCGTTTGCCTTGCACGCAGCCAACATGGCCAACCCGAGTTCGATTCCTCCGCCCCTCTTGGAGAGCCCGGCAAGTTACCCAGAGTATCCCCGTGACGTATTCGATATGCCAAACACAGTAACAACATTTAGTGTATATTTTCTAAAAATTTGACTCTTTTTTTGGTGGGAGGGGGGCACTGCATGGGAGCTTTTCCTGATTCAGTGTTTGGGGAAGGTCACTCCTAGTGGTGCTGAGGGGACCAAGTGGTGCTAGGGATCAAACCTAGGACTCCTGAATACAGAGCTTACACTTCAACCCTTTCATATCTCTCCCCAGCCTAGGAAATTTTCTTAGATTGTATAATGATCAAATGATCAAAATTAGGAAATTAGCATCATTGCAGTACTATTACCCCAGACCTCATTCAGAGTTTGCTAATCATTCTAGTACTATTCTTGAGGGATGGGGTGGGTGGGGGGTGGGAATCCAGATCATACATTGCATTCGGTTGTTTTGTCTTTTTAATCTCCTTTCATCTGGCAGTTTCTGTTTCTATTTATATTTTATGCCATTGAAACTTTTTTAAGAGTTTTAAAAGACAGTTTTTATTGAATATCTTTGAATTTAATGCTTCCTCTGGTAGAGGCAAGTTTTGCATATGGGTCAGCTATGCTATAGTATTAATATATTCTCATCTACTTCATGGTAGGAGATACCTGATGTCAGTTTGTTTCATAAATGGTGAGTGAGCATTTGGTTAGGATGGTGTTGAACTATTTCTTTCTTCACTTTATAAATACTAATTTTCTCCTTTCAATTATATATCTTATATAAAGATCCTTTGGAATTATGTAAATGACCTGTTATTCTTCTAGTTTCCTTAATCATTTTTTTTTCTTTTATCTTCCAGAATGGTACTGGGAATGTCTATTGCGACCATGGTTTTATAGGATACTTGCAGTGGTTTTGTCCATCTTCTCTGTGATAGTTGTGTGGTCAGAGTGCACTTTCTTTAGCACAAGGCCTGTCTTATCCCTCTTTGCAGTCTTCATACAGCTGGCCGAACAAACATATAATTATATTTATATTGAGGTCAGTTTATTTTATATATCATAAATTAATGTCAATTTATAGGTAATCCTTAAATGTTGTGTCTCTTTCTCCATATACTTCGTCTGTTAATTATGAAAGTAGCAATGTTTCCCAGTGATATTATTCACACTTTCAGAAATAAGCTTAATCAGTTTACCTACTCTATGAAAACTAAGAACTGTATTTGTGGAAAGAGGAAAGGTGCAAAATAGTGCAGTGTTTTTAATGATAATACTTTGATTCTGTTTATGCAAGTACTTGTAGACTTCATATGAAGAATTACCAGATAATGGGAAAATAGGCTCACTCAGAAGTGTATTTGAAACTAATAAAGAGCATAAAAATGATTGAGTTGTAAAATTTTTAATGCAATTTTATTTTCTTCTGTAATTAAAAGGAAGCTTACTATTTTAATTTTAGCTGGAAATAAGGGATAATACTTGGATAGTATCTAAAATGCTAAAGTCTGTTAGTTTTAAATTATCTTTGTTTTTTTCCCCCCAGATTGCTTGCTTCCTTTCCATCTTTTTTCTAAGTATTTGTGTTTATTCTACTGTGTTCAGGATTCGTGTATTTAACTATTATTACTTGGCTTCACATCACCAGACTGATGCTTACAGCCTTCTTTTCAGTGGCATGTAAGTAGATTTTGTTTAGAAACAAAGTAAATGTCGCCATTGCTTGCGTTCTTGTAAATCTCTTTTATTATTAGTGATAGTGCTCCACTAACATCTGTATTTCTGCAAGTTGCTTGATTAGTTTTAAGATTTAATTGTTTGTTATTGCTTGCTAAATTCTGCTTGAAGTTTAAGATTAAGGTTTGCTAGTTTAGGAAGGAGAAGAAAGATACAGAGACTCCCAATTTACCAACTAGAAATTTAATTAAAGATTGGTAAATAGTAGGAATATTTGGGAGTTTAAAGACTACATCAAACTTAGAGAGTATTCTAAGATTCAGTCCTCAAAATAAATTGTCTTGGTGCTATCAAGAAAACCAAATATGTTTATTTTTATTAAGATGATTTTTCAAGAGTTTGTGGTGCTGAGCATGGATCTCAGGGCCTCACACATACAGGGCATATGGTCCAACACTGAGCCATATCCTCCAGTTTAACATTAGCTTGCAGAGAAGACTCTAGCAAGGTTACACAATATATTATTTATCCTTACTGTTAAGTTGGTCATATTAAATATCTATAAAGACTGGACTTAGGGAAATTCACTGAGGAATTGATTTAAAACACATTATCAATACTGTTTTAAAAAACCTTTGTATACTCCCAAATTATAGACTCATAGAAAAGTTGCAAATATAGTACACAGAGCCCTATTGACCTTCCCTTCACTTCCTCCAATAGATTTTTGTAGAGCTCTTATTCAATATCAGAATCAGGAAATTTACATTAATATTTTATTGTTAGAAACCTTATTTAGTTCACTCAATTTTAAAACTCTTTGTGTGTGTGTGTGTGTGTGTGTGTGTGTGTATAGATTCTTTAACCACTACAATTAAAACATGTAACTCTTCTATTACTACAAAATAGCTTTTGTTATCACCTCTTTGTTTTGAGACCCTTTCATAATTTTCCTCTCCCCTTACTTTCCAACTCTGTAAATTTATAAGTTTCTCTTTTTATCTGGGCAAAACTGAGCTCTAACAATTCCTAATATATGTAATTGTCAGAGATTTGATAAAGTACAATTTCAGATCTTTTATGAACTGAGTACACTTCACTTTGGTACCAGTATTGTAATCCTGCTGAGACAGAGTGCGTAGATGGTACACTTGAAAGAAGGGCATGCAGAGGCATTCCACAAATTCTTGGGATAAGCAGTGACAAACACCTAAGCAGGCAACAGTGCCTAGAGTTTTGACATATAAGTGTTGCTAATTTTGGAGCAATGTGGTTATTAGGATTTTTAGACTGTGCACCAAGTAAATAAGGGCAGTTCACATTAAGAATTCAAATGTGAAGGAGGCAGAGGCCTAGGAGGCCTGGGTTCAATCCTTGATGCTACCTTGTTCCCTGAGCACCCCTGGGAGCAGCCCTTTAGCATAGAGTCGGGAGTAGGACCTAAGTACTGCCAGGTGTGACACCCTAAACCAAGTAAAAATTATATATATGTGTGTGTGTATGCATGCATATATATGTATATGTACATATATATAATAAACTTTTAAATATAAGTGATCCAAGTATAACTCAGTGGTAGGGCATCTTATAGACATGAGGCTTTGAGTTTGATCCCTCGCACTGACACACATCGTGAGTAGAATGCTGGTAGCACTGCTCTTTGTAATAATAACATAGCAAGGTGTGTGTGTGTGTGTGTGTGTGTGTGTGTCTGTGTCTGTGTGTGTGTCTGTGTGTGTGTGTGTCTGTGAGTGAGTGTGTGAGCACCACAGCCAAATGTGTGATCTCCAGCAAGCACTGCAACCAAAATGTGTGTGAGAACTACAACTGAATGGTATCCCTGATGAGTTTCTCTGATTTTCTGATTCTGAAGAACTGAGTAACAGTAACAGCAAAGGGCAGGAAAGGCTGAAAATTATTTTAAATATTTAAAATTTAAGATAAGAGAGACAATATAGGTTACTGTGCTTGATTTGCATGTGGTCAATCCTGATCCAAGTTTTGGCACTGTATGTGTTCCCCCAAGTGCTGCCAGGAGTTATTCCTGAGCACAGAACCAGAAGTAAGCCCTAATAATCATTGGCTGTCATCCAAAACCCATTGTCCTCCAATATTTAAAATTGAAAGTATAATACAAGAATAAAATATTTGTTACAATGATCTGAAATAATGTTAATAATTTTCAGTATAATATTAAATGTATTTTTCTACTTTATTTTTGCTATGTTCAAATTTATAAATGCTCCTTTCAGGTTGTTTTGCCGTTTGACTCCTCCACTATGTCTTAATTTCTTGGGTTTGACCCATATGGATTCATCTATCTCTCACCAGAATACACAACCTACTGCTTATACATCTGTAAGTATAGTCAGAAAACAGCTCCTTAGGACTGGAGAAATAGGTCAGTGGGCAGAAAGGGTTGATTTGTGTGCAGAATGCCTGGGTTTGTTCCTGGCACCACATGGTCCTCTGAGCACTAATGGAACAAATCCTGAACACCAATTCAACAGTGAAATTTCTTTTAATTCTGGGAAAAGAGCTCTATACATTATTATGATTTTTAATAGTTAAAATTATCGGGCCTGGAGCAATAGCACAGCAGGTAGGGCGGTTTGCCTTGCACGCGGCCAACCCGGGTTCAATTCCCAGCATCCCTTATGGTCCCCTGAGCACAGCCAGGGGTAATTCCTGAGTGCAGAGCCAGGAGTAACCCCTGTGCATCACCAGGTGTGAACCCAAAAGCCAAAAAAAAAATAATTAAAATTATCTTTTAAAAATTAGCAGCTTTTTAAAAAAATCTAAAGATTGCTAATGACCAAATAAAATTAATTTTATTATTTTAAAGTATTTCACATAGGTTGTACAACCTATATATAGGTCTTAACTATAATAGATTTCATATGTACTGTCTTAATACATAAAATACTAATATGGAATGATGTTTCCTTTATATTAAACCTTAATTAACAAATTAAGATATAACTGACATATAACATCTACTAATTTAAGGCATAAAATATAATGAGTTGATATGTACTGATAAATGTTTACATAATAAATATGGTTAATATTCATCACTTCACATTGTTACTTTTTTTTAATTGTGATGAGAATTTTAAAATCAGTTCATCAAATATGTTTGTTTCTGCTTTTTGTTAGTTAAAATTTATTTAACTGTTTATGGACCAGTGTTCTAAAAATGTAGAAAAATTAAAAATGTAGAATTTTACTAATTATTTTTTTCTTACTCTTCAGATTATGGGTTCCATGAAAGTTTTATCCTTTATTGCAGATGGATTCTATATATATTATCCAATGTTGGTGGTAATTCTGTGCATTGCCACTTATTTTAGGTAAGAAATTTAACAATATTTTCCCTCATTCTGTTAGTCTGATCTAGATATCCTTTCTCCATAGAGCTCTTTAAATATTTGTTCATTGAATTTTGATTGTTTTATTGTTTCTTTGAGGGAACTAGGGATACTTTTAAAAAGATTGCTTGAGTTATTAGGTCAGATTTCCCTTTTGAAAAAAGAGGGGAGGGGGGCTGGAGTGATAGCATAGCGGGTAGGGAATTTGCCTTGCACGCGGCTGACCTTGGTTCGATTCCGAGCATCCCATATAGTCCCCTGAGCACCGCCAGGGGTAATTCCTGAGTGCAGAGCCAGGAGTAACCCAAAAAGCAAAATAAATAAATAAATATTAAAAAAAAAAGAGGGGAGAAAGCTTAATCAATTTTAAATAATTAAGTTATAAAGTAAGAGGAGTAATTGCAGAATCTTAACTCTTTAAATCCTTGTCTTTAAAACTGACAACCTGTAGGTTATAAACCATCTCCTATTCCCAACTTCTATCTAGAAATCACTTACTATCACCCTGTTGTTCATCGATTTACTCAAGCGGACCCAGTAATGTCTCCATTGTGAGACTTGTTGTTACTTTGTTTGGCATATCGAATACGTCATGGGTAGTTTGCCAGGTTTTGCCGTGTGGGCGAGATACTCTCAGTAGCTTGCCGGGTTCTCTGAGAGGGGCAGAGGAATCGAACCCAGGTCATCCGGGTGGGCCGCATGCAAGGGAAACGCCCTACCCACTGTGCTATCTAGAATTAATCTAGAATTAATATCTAGAAATATTGATTGATATTAGGTTTTTCTTCAGATCATCATTAGGTTTCTAGATGATTCAGACCTCAGTCAATGCAAAGATTCAAATAGGAAGCATGTGTAATTAGGTGGTATATATTGTATATAAGACTGGAAAGTATGTACATGATCTGCTTTCTTGTTTTGATATTTTTGTTTGTTTTGGAACCACACAGTGCTCAGGCTTACATCTGGTTCTGTGCTCCAGGATCATTTCTGACAGTGCTCAAGAGACTGTGTGTTAGGGATTGATGCAGAGTTGGCCACATACAAGACTAAACCCTCAACCCTTATATAGTATCAGTCTGGCCCTGCTTTTTCCTTTCTCCTTCTCCTCATCCTTTTCCTTCTCCTCCTCCTTCTTCTTCTTTTTTTTTTTTTCTGTTTTTTTGGGCCACACCTGACAGTGCTCACTCCTCTTTTCTTTTTTTTTTTTTTTAATTTTTAATAGTGTGAGTGGGCTGGAACGATAGGACAGCGGTAGGGCGTTTGCCTTACAAGCGGCCAACATGGCCGACCCGAGTTCGATTCCTCCGCCCCTCTTGGAGAGCCCAGCAAGCTACCGAGAGTATCTCGCCCGCACGGCAGAGCCTGGCAAGCTACGCGTGAGGTATTTGGTATGCCAAACATAGTAACAACAAGTCTCATGATGGAGACGCTACTGGGCCCGCTCGAGCAAATTGATGAACAACGGGCGGACCGTGAGTGTGAGTGGTAGAATCTTGGCAGAGGGCAGAGATCAGACTCAAAAGGAGTTTAAGGATGAAGATGCTTGACTTTTAGGGTAGGGTGCTTGCTTTGCATGTGGCCAACTCAGATTAAATCCCTGGCAACCCATATGGTACCCCGTGCCCACCAGGAATGATCTCTGAGCGCAGAGCCAGGAGTAATCCTTGAGCACTGCCAGGTGTGCCCCTCACCCCCCACCAAAATATATGTTTTTGTAATTTGGGGAAGTATCATGAAGGAGTGCAGACTTTGCATGTGAGAGCCTCTGGCTTGCTCCCCAGTGCATGATTCCATGGCCACCATTGGAAGTGATCTAAAACAAAATAAGAAATATTTTGTTGGATCTGGAGAGATGGTATAGAGGTTAAGGCACTTGCCTTGCATACTGTAGATGACCCCAGTTTTGTCCCTAGTACCTAGTCACACATATGGTTCCCCAAGTATCAATATGAGTGATTCCTGAGCAGAGTCAGGAGTAAGCTCAAGTACTGATGAGAGTGACCCAAGCCTATGTATTCAAGTACTTGCTACCCAGAACCTAAACAGACACACACACACACACACACACACACACACACACACAGAGAGCACAAAAAATACTCTTTAAAATATGTTTTTGTGGGGCCAGAGTGATAGTACAGTGGGTAGGACACTTGGCTTGCACACAGCCAACTTGGGTTCTGTCCCCAGCATCCCGTATGTTCCCTGAGCATCTCCAGAAGTAGTTCCTGAGTGCAGAGCCTGGCAGAACCCCTGAGCATTTTCTTCTGTGGCCCAAATAAAAACTAACAACAACAACAAGGCATTATATGGATCAGGTAATGGATGGGATAGTTCTTTGTCTACTCTAAAATTTTAATTCCTTAAAATCATAAAGAATTATTGTGTCTAAAGCAATCAATTTAAAGTACAGTTTTAGACTTAATTAATGTCAACTAATTAGAGAAATCATGTCAGTGTCTTTAATGAATTAAAAACTTTGTATTCCTGGTGGCTGGATTGATAGCACAGCTGGTAGAGCGTTTGCCTTGCACACAGCCAATCCTGGTTTGATTCCCAGCATCCCCTATGGTCCCCTGAACACCACCAGGAGTAATTCCTGAGTGCAGAGCCAGGAGTAACCCCTGTGCATCGCCGGGTGTGACCCAAAAAGCAAAAAAAAAAAAAACAAAAACCACTTTGTATTCCTTAATTTGCAAAATATTTCTCAAGATATCCTATTATAAAAATATAGGAAGCAATGACCGACATTTTAGTGTCAACTTAATGGGTTTATGTGTATTAAATGGTGCCATAATTGGTCTAATTCTAGTTGCTAGTAATACAACTTTAGCCAGTATTAATATTTATACTTAACCATCTAAAGTGTAAGGCTTTTTTTTTTTCAGAAATGATCTCATGTAAAACTTTTTATTATAGGGTCTAGAATACCAACAATTATTTTAAATAAAGATGGTAAAAGTTAAAGTAAAATAGTAGGAACTCCTACCTGTGAAATTCCTATTTTATCCAATATTAAGTCCTAAATATTTCTTATATATTAAAACATTCATTATGAATAAAACATAATTTTGCACATTGTTAATGTTAAAATTGGTTTTGGCCAATTAAAAGGGCTGGAGCAATTGCACAGTGGGTAGGGTGTTTGCCTTGCACATGGCCAACATGGGTTCGATTCCTCCATCCCTCTCAGAGAGCTCGGCAAGCTACCAAGAGTATCCCGCCTACACGGCAGAGCCTGGCAAGCTCCCTGTGCCATATTCGATATGCCAAAACAGTAACAAGAAGTTTCATAATGGAGACACTTTTGGTGGCCACTCGAGCAAATTGATGAACTATGGGAGGACTGTGCTACAGTTAACATTAAAATAATAGATATTTTCTTTATATATTTGACTGTATTTGATTCCTTTCAACTTTATATATTACTGTATTCTTACTTTCTTCTACTTCCTTTTTCTCCCTTTATATCTTCACACTTTCTGTTTATTTTATTAGGGGAAATTAATAGGGAACATGGGTGGCAGTGTTGGGCCACAGCCAATGGTTTTCAGGGCTTATTCTGGCTTGGAACTCAGGGATCACTCCTGGCCCTGTTGGAAGGCCATCTGAGTATCAAACCCAGGTCAACCACAGGCAAGGCAAGCACATTACTCACCATACTATCGCTCCATCTCCCATGCTTCTGTCTTTCAAAATAGTAAGAGGTGAAAATGTTTAAGAATAGGTAATAAGAACTTGGTCGTTGTTTTGTATTAGTTTAAAATCTCGACTCCAACATTGGTATTTGCAAGATATCTAACCCTTTGGACCTCTGTTTCTTATATATCACTGTCCTCCCATTGTTCATCGATTTGCTCGAGTGGGCCCAGTAACGTCTCCGTTGGAAACTTTGTTGTTACTGTGTTTGGCATATCGAATTCGTCACGGGTAGCTTGCCAGGCTCTGCCATGCGGGCGAGATACTCTCGGTAGCTTGCCGGGCTCTCCAAGAGGGGTGGAGGAATCGAACTCAGGTTGGCCATGTTGGCTGCGTGCAAGGCAAATGCCCTACCGCTGTGCTATCACTCCAGCCCTGTTTCTTATATATATATATATATATATATATATACACATATATATACATACATGTATATACATACATATATATACACATATATATATGTTTCTCATATAAGAAACAAAATTTGGTCGTCTGGTTGGCAAAAGATAAGCATTTCTTAAGCATCATAGTTTTGTAATTACATAGCCTTTGTCAGTGGAATACTACTTACAAAAACTTCTTAGATAGGAACCTCATAAAAAACAATATAAATCCGTAACTGTTCGTAATTACTAATAATAAAACATAAGCTTCTTTGAAGGTAACGGTATGAAAGAAAAAACAATTTAACGTGTGAAATAATGTTTGTCTTTTCAAAAATCTATTTTTTATTAGTTTGGGAACTCGTTGTTTGAATCTACTTGGTTTCCAGCAGTTTATGGGAGATAATGACATGACATCAGATTTAGTTGATGAAGGAAAAGAATTAATCAGACGAGGTAAGATTTGTCTTTTATATAAATAAAAGAGAAAATGACAAGACTTGAAGTTAATACATATGAAACCTATAATTTTAATATATCTTAAAAAATTACAAATTCCTTGTAGTTTAAAATTTATATATTTTTAAATATATTTATTTCATTGTCTTTATGAAACTCTCAAAGAAATTATTGGTGTGTTTGCAACTAAATAATGCCCTTGCATACTTTTAGTTACTTTCATCTTTGCTTTGAAATAGATTTTCCAAGTTGAACTATAAAACTCATTACAGAGTTTTATTTTAGAGGCATTTTTTAAAAACATTCTCTCTAGTTGGTTCTGGGAACTTCTGTGTGTTCACAGTTAAATATCACCAAAATGTTTGGTAGCTCCAGAAAAAGCTGGTTATAACCTTTATGTGCTCTCTTAGCTAGGTAATATTTATGTGATGTGATGGTTCTGCTTTTGTTTTGTTTTTGTTTGTTTTTTGTTTTTGTATTTATTACATTCTCTGGGAATTTGTTGAATATTGAGTAATATTTTCGAGAGTAGGATTATAAGTCAGATGGTAAAGAAATAGTGCTAGAATCATGGAGCTTATAGAATATAGTTTATAAGGGACCACTGATTATATAGCCTGAAGCAAATAAGAAAAAATACCTTACACCGAAAGAAGAGAAACACAGACTTCATATCCAAGACAAAACACACAAGAGAATTTAAGAGAAGCACATTTCAGGTCACTGTGAGGAAAACTTTTTCCTCATGAAAATTATTTAAACAGAGTCTAAATGTCATATGCAAAAAGAAGATTTTATATATGTCTTTAAGTGGCCTTGAGATCAGTATTTCTCAGCCAGGGGCCACATGACCCTCAGGTTACCACCAGGATATTCCATGGTGGCCACAGGTATAAATCACAATAAGGGGGGAGGGGGGACATGGCAAGAGGGTAGGGGGTCATCTGGTAGGACAGGAGGAGACCATAGAAAGGAAACAATACTTGTAGTAACTTCAAGAAAATTTACCACAGCCTGATACCTTTACTTCATTTACTCTACATCTAATTTTAAACCATGTTGTATCAAATTTAAGACCACTTTTCTCTCTCTAGAAAAGAGGAAAAGACAAAGACAAGAGGAAGGTGAAAATCGAAGAAGAGTAAGTACAGTAGTTATTTAATTGTCATAATCACACAGCAGGTAGGGCGTGTGCCTTGAACGCAGCCCAGGTTCGATTCTTCCACCCCTCTCAGAAAGCCTGGCAAGCTACCGAGAGTATCTCGCCCACACGGCAAAGCCTGGCAAGCTACCAGTGGCATTTGGTATGCCAAACACAGTAACAAGTGTCACAATGAATACGTTACTGTGCCCGTTCGAGCAAATCGATGAACAACAGGAGGACAGTGATAGTGACAGTAACTGTTCCATTGTCATTCAACCAACACTTGTCATTGTCAATCTAAAGATTAATGTTAAAAATCAAAAGAATCTGATTTAGAGCAATTGACTAAAAACTGCAGAATAGTAAGGAAATGATTTATTTTTATTTTGTTGCATTTGCCATACGAGGAGTTGAACTCAAGCCTTATGCATGCAAGGCATGCACTTTACCACCCACATTACATGCATGTAATGTGGATGGTATATGCATTACGAATGCACCACATTAAATGCATTTTACCTCCAAAAATTTCTCAGTTCCACAGCTTGCCAAAATTGAAATGAACTGCTTACACATAGTCTGTATCAGTGACTAAGAGAACCAAAATTCATTAAGATGATTTATTTAGAATGAAACCCAAGACTACAAAAAGAGGTTGAATAAGGTGACCTCTGTGGTTTCTTTCAAGTCTAAGAATGTGCCGAATATAATCCCAGTTTTTATGGTTTTAGTGCTCTTAAGGCTATATACAGTGCTACATGGTTTATCTTCTAATTAAGTTTGTATACAACTTTAATTTTGCTATTGAAAATTACTTTTGGGGCTTCATTATAGATTATTTGGGTTGAGAAAAAATGTATTATCCCACTGGTTTTTCTTTTTGTTTTTCTTTTTTAGGGGTGGGGAGGTTCTCTGGCAGTGCCCTGAGCCACTAGGGCTATTACTCAGCAATACCTTCGAGGCCAAGCAGTGCCAGGGTTCAAACCCAGGACTGTGTGCTTGTCAGACATGGGATCCAGCCATGACTCTCTCTCCCAATATCCCAGTGATAATTTATAGTAAGGAAGTAAACTTAAAAATTGTAAGATTGCTTTTAAAAGATGGAGGAATTAGATAAAATAGACATGGCTAGCAAAAAATGTCTACAAAGGACTCATTTGTAAAGCTTCATTTTAGAAATTATTATAATCTTATAAAGTAAAGTGAAGGCCCTCCCGTTGATCATCGATTTGCTCGAGCGGGCCCAGTAACGTCTCCATTGGAGACTTTGTTGTTACTGTGTCTGGCGTATCGAATACTCTCGGTAGCTTGCCGGGCTCTCCGAGACGGGCAGAGGAATCGAACTCGGGTCGGCCATGTTGGCTGCGTGCAAGGCAAACGCCCTACCCGCTGTGCTATCGCTCCAGCCCTTATAATCTTATAGTAATGAGAAAATTTGACCTATGATTTTCTTTCCTTTTTTTAAAAAAAATTAAATATTATGGCACTGTGATTTCATAGTGACTCATAGTTGAGTTCCAAGTGTACAGTGTTCCAATGCCAATCCCATCACCAGTGTTGATTCCTTTACCAGTGTCCCCAGATTCCCTTCCACCCCCAGTCTTCCTCCTCACAGGCACATTTTAAAGTTTTGTTATTGTAGTTTGGATCTCATGCTTACAGTATTGTTGGCTTTGTAGTTTAGACATTTGCATATACCACACACCTCTGCACCACTGATGTGCTTGAGGACCCTGACCTCTATCCCTGTTATCCCCAACCAATCTCTTCTTACTCCTTCCACTTTGCTTTCTTTTATTCCCTGTCCTTATTTCTACATTAAGTGAAGTGAACCAGAAGAAGGACAAATGCCAGATGATCTCACTTACCTGTTTTATATAGAATAACAGGAAGGGTTGCATGGTATCGAAGGGGAATACCCAGATTATTCTTAACTTCTGATTTTTAAAAGCGCATTGTGCTATTTATAATTGATGTGTTTTTGATAAGAAAAAGAAGTATTTATTATCTATGCAATTTGTTTATGCTTATGTTTTGTCTTCTTCTTGTGAGTTCTTTATATATTTGTGTTTCTTTCCTAGGAATGGAAAGAACGTTATGGACACAATAGAGAGGATTCTACTAGAAACAGAAATGTTCACGTTGACCCAAAAGAGTCAAACTTCTCAGATAATAGCACCAACCGATGTAAGTCATTTACTTATCCATTTGTTTATTTATTATACATGGGTTGGTTGACAATAGTTTAATTATAAAAATTAAACATTAGTACAGAGTATCTGGAGGGTAAAAACAGAAACATTGGTATTTGTAAGTGGTAAGTAAAAGCATACTGGTTTTGTGCATTATGTTTGAAGTTCAAATGTCACAAATTCAAATTCACCTTTTCCTTTTTCTCTTTTATTGATGTGCTCTTTTTTTAAAAAAATGTTTAATCACCCTGATTTGTTAATATTGTTAATCTTAGGGTTTCGTGAATACAAGTACCTAGTATTAAAAAAAAGACAAATATCTTCCCCACACCCTCCATTAGTCCCCTTCCATCCATCATTGTTTCATTGTTCTCCCATGCACCTCCCTCTGTCTTCGCAGCTTAGTAAGCTAAGTTCTATAGACAAGTTCTTGGGTTCTGTTACCTTTGGCCATTAGTTTTTCTCTTACTCTGGGTTTTATTATTCCACATATAAGATATCATTTTCTATCTGTCTCCCTCTGACTGACTTCACTCAGCTGTGATGCGTTCTGATAGCCCTATTACATCTTCATGCACTGCCCTGTAGCATTGTCCTCCCTTTGTTCATCAATTTGCTCAAGCGGGCACCAGTAACGTCTCCACTGTGAGACTTGTTGTTACTGTTTTGGGCATATCGAATACACCCCTGGGAGCTTGCCAGGCTCTGCCATGCAGGCAGGATATTCTCAATAGCTTACCGGGCTCTCGGAGAGGGACAGAGGAATTTAACCCGGATTGACTGTGTGCAAGGCAAACACCCTACCTGCTGTACTATCACTCCAGCCCATTATATCTTCATAGGTATAAAAAATGTATTCACGTGAGGAAGGGATGATGATTGTGCTATGCGAGGGGCCCTGCCAGACCACTCTCCGGCCCGTGGAGGTGGCCTTAGGGTCCGTAGGTGCAGGGAGGGACCGACCAAATAAACACAAGACACGAGACATAATGCAGAGAAAACAGGACAGAGCAGACAGGACAGCAGACAGGATAGGAAAGGACAGGACTTTATTCAGGGCAGCAGGGGTATTATATACTTTGCAACGCAGGAAACTATGCTTACATCACAGAAGGCAATTACATCACTAGATCATATCATACATGGTTAGGAGAGTTACAAAAACTACGTTTCATATGCTTGGTTAGTCAGTGTCAGTTACTTCTTATTCTTGGGCTAGCTGTAACAAATGTTTTCTTTTAGATAACCATACATAGGTCAGGATATGCATAGGCTGCGGTCAGAGCAGACGCAGTACCAGATTTGTGCAAGTCAGGACCCACTTGTTCAGGGTCACGTAGGCCAAGATAATCATACATAGCACAGGCATGTAGGCCCTTGGTCAGTTGAAGGGCCAGCTTCCCACAGTGCTATGCTCTCGAGCCACTGTGTGTATGAACTGGATCGGGATGGCTCCTCCTTTGTGCTCTGCTTCTGTGTGTGCTGCTGTGCTCTCTTTTGTCTGTCTGTCTGTCTCTCTCTGACTCTGTCTCTGTAGTCTCTCCTCTGGTTTCTTCCATATCTCTCTTCTCACTCTGCCCCCTGGATTCTGACTGGCTCTCACTTCTGACTCTGACACCCTCTGCTCTTACAGCCTCAGTTTATAATAGTTTATAATCACGTAGGGTTGGTGACACAAACGTGGGTCGAACAATTAGTAAATCAACAAAGAGGGATAAGACCACTCTTCCAGGAGATTAACTCAAGGACAAAATCTCATCTGAAAAGATTACTCCAGATTACTAAGAGATCCACTTAAGGGTGGGATCGCATCCAGGGTGTATCGCTTTCTTCTTTCCTCAGCTAGTAATCCACTTAAATAGCTATGGTAAATTTGCTTCTAATATTTCTAGCAATGTCATTCTGTATGAGCACAGTAAGAGATATATCAAACTTAAATTTTGGTTCGTCCAGAGGACATCTCACTATATATTCCAGACCACAGTCCTCAGGTTAGCTTAGTCTTCCTAACTCCAGCAGGGTCCTAGTCTCATTGTTACTTTTGGATGATGACAGCATTTGTCTATGACCGTGCTCTCAACTTATAGCTGAGTATTGTGGCACTTTGCCCTGGCCCATTTTGATGCCGGGGTAGCTCACAACTTGTCCTGGGTCCATTCAGTCCTTCGTTGGGGTGCTTGGAACTAAGGGCACCTGAGCCTGAGTCTGAGAAAGCAGATGCCCAGGCGTAAATATTATTGGAGTCAATCAACTCACAAGTTACAAAGCATAATATTAGCTGTCTTCCTGTGTCCACACAGAAAAGACATTGCTTTAAAGTAAACTAAGTTCCCTGCAACAAGGCTGAAAGGACAAACCCAGTGTTATCCTACACATGGGGTAAATATCATGTTTTCATCTTATCTTATAGCCAAGTAGTATTCCATTGTGTATGTCTACTAGTTTCTTTATCCAGTCATCTAGTCTTGGACTCCAGGTTTTTTCCAGAGTTTGGCTGGACACAGGAGCACAAATATATTTTCTGAGTAGAGATTTTGGGTCCTTGGGGCAGAAGTGGGATTGCTGGATCATATGGAATTCTTAGTTCTTTGAGAAGTGTCCATAGTTTTTTCCAAAATAGATTTAATCAGTTAACCATTCTTGCCAGCAGTGGATGTGGGTTCTTTTATCCCCACATCCATGCCAGCAATGGTTGCTTTTGGTCTTTTTGATGTGTACTTATTGGTGTGAGGTGATATCTAATTGTTTTTATTTGCATTTCCCTGATGGTCAGTGATGCAGATCATGTTTTCATATATTTACTAGCAATTGGTATGTCTTCTCTGAGGATGTTTCTATTCATCTCTTCTCCTCAATTTTCAATGAGATGTTTATTTTGTTCTTTTTTAAGTTCAGTGTTTTATATATCTTATTTTTCTTATAAGTAAAACAAAACTTTAACAAGAGATTTGATAAATAAAAATGACAAGCTCAGTTAAAAAAATGAAGCAAATTGCAGGTTTTTTTTAATTTTTATTGTTTTTTTGCTTTTGGGGTCACACCCAGCAATGCACAGGGGTTACTCCTGGCTCTGCGCTCAGGAATTACCCCTGGCGGTGCTCAGGGGACCATATGGGATGCTGGGAATCGAACCCGGGTTGGCCGCGTGCAAGGCAAATGCCTTACCCACTGTGTTCTTGCTCCAGCCCCCAAAATTGCAGTTTTTAATTCAAAAGTTTAATGCAAGATTGGAGAGATAATACAGTGGTTAAGATGCATACCCAGGACTAACCCTTGACATAGCAAGGTGTGACCCAAAACTGAACAAAAAATGTTAAATAAAATTAAAACGAAATAAAATCACTTATAAAACTATAAAATAAATTTAAAAAATAATAGAAATAAAATAACACCGATGAACTGAAAAATAACCTTAGATATTAAAATTAATTACTTAATTCCAATACTAGAAGTTTAAATTACTTTACATCCAACCCCATCAAAAACTGGGGTGATGAAATGAATAGAAACTTTCTCAAAGAAGAAATACGAATGGCTAAAAGGCACATGAGAAAATGCTCCACATCATTAATCATCAGGGAGATGCAGATCAAAACCACAATGAGATATCATTTCACACCACAGAGACTCGCCCACATCCACAAGAACAAAAGCAACTGGTGCTGGGGCGGATGTGGCGAGAAAGTGACTGTCCTTCACTGTTGGTGGGAATGCCGACTGGTTCAGCCCTTTTGGAAAACAGTATGGACGATTCTCAAAAAATTAGAAATTGAGCTCCCATTTGACCCAGCAATACCACTCCTGGGAATATATCCCAGAGAGGAAAAAAAGTATAGTCGAAGTGACATCTGCACTTGTTTGTTCATTGCAGCACTCTTTACAATAGCCAGAAACTGGAAGAAACCTGAATGCCCAAGAACAGATGACTGGTTAAAGAAACTTTGGTACATTTACACAATGGAGTACTATGTAGCTGTTGTCATGAAATTTACATACAAGTGGTACTACATGGAAACTATCATGTTAAGTGAAATGATTCAGAAAGAGAGGGATAGACATAGAAAGATTGCATTCATCTGGGGAACATAAAGTAACAAAATAGGAGACTAACACCCAAGAATGGCCGAGATTAGAACCAGGAATTTTACTTCATGGCTTGGAGGCCAATCACACATGTTAGGGGAAAAGGGAGCTCAGATAGAGAAGGGAGCACCAAATAAAGTATGTTGGGAGGATCCTTCCAGGATGGGAGAAGCACGCTGAAAGTAGACTGTAGGACCAAACATGATTGCCACTCAATGCCTATTTTGCAAACCACAACACCCAAAAGGAGAAAGAGAGAACAAAAGGGAATGCCCTCCCACAGAGGCAGGAGGGGGGGTTGGGGGGGATACTGGGATATGTGGTGGTGTGAAATGGGCACTGGTGGAGGGATGGGTATTTGATCATTGTATAGTTGAAACCCAAGCACAAAAATTTGTAAGTCTACAACTGTACCTCATGGTGTCTCACTAACAAAAATTTTTAAAAAAAGGGCAAAAAAATAAATCAAAATTTAAAAGTCAAAGGAAATCAAGTAACTAAAATTGTGTTAAATAGTCAAATTAAAATAATACATACAATTAAAATATTTAAATGTAAAAAATAGGGACTGGAGCAGTAGCATAGTGGGTAGGGTGCTTGCCTTGCACCGTCATCCTGGGTTCTGTCCCCAGCACTTCATATAATTCCACATGGTGCCCCAAGTGCTGTCAGGAGTGGTCCCTGAGCCAGGAGTAAGCTCTGATACCATCCAGGTATAGCCCAAAAAAATTTTTAATTTTTTTGGTTTATTTTGCTAATATTATTTAAATTTTTTATTTTATTCATTTTACCTAATTAAATTTCTTAAAATCATTGTCCTTTGTTTTGTTCTGTTTTTGTTTTATTTACTTTAATTTTGTGTTTATCCTTGTATATTTTTTAACTTTATATGTTTCTATTTAAATTTAAATTTGACACATTCCAGTTTAATTAAATTTTACTTAAATTGCATTTCTTTTTTTTATATAATTTTTTAAAATTTATTTGTTGAATCACCGTGAGAACAGTTACAAAACTTTCAAGTTTAAGTCTCAGTCATACAATGATCAAACACCCGTCCCTTCCACCACCAAGAAGCCCAATATACGCCCCCCACCCCACCCTTCCCCATGCCTGTGAGGCAGATGATTTCCACTTTCTCTCTATTTTGATCACATTCATTATTTTTTTTTAGATTTACAATTTTTTGTGCTTGGGTTTCAGTTATACAATGATCAAATACCCATCCCTCCATCAGTGCCCATTTTCCACCACCATGGATAATATCCCTCCCACCCCCATCCCTCCCATCTCACCCTGCCTCTGTGGCAGGGCAATCCCCTGTGTTCTCTCTCTCCTTTTGGGTGTTGTGGTCTGCAAAAGAGGCTTTGAGTGGCAAACATGTTCAGTCCATAGTCTACTTTCAACATGCATCTCCCCTCCTGGGAGGATCCTCCAAACACCCTTTATTTGGCGCTCCCTTCTCTATCTGAGCTGCCCTTTCCCCTAGAATGCCCGGCTGGCCTCTAAGTTATGGAGTAATTCTCCTGGTGTTGATCTCAGCTATTGTTGGGTATTACTCTCATATTTTGTTACTTTATATCCCCCAGATGAATGCAAAAATTGCATTTCTTTTAAAATTTTATTGTATGTATTTAAATGTACTATTGTCTATAATTTACTAAGGATCGAACCCAAGATCTTACACATGAAAGGAAGTAGTCTACCACTATGCTACATCCCCAATGCTTGTAAATCCATGTATTTATTTATTTATTTTATTTGGGGGGCGGGTCATACCCGGTGATGCACAGGGGTTATTCCTGGATCTGCACTCAGGAATTACTCGTAGCAGTGCTTGGGGGACATATGGGATACTGGACATCAAATCCGGGTGTGCAAGGCAAATACCCTTCCCTCTGTAATAGCATTCCATCCTCTCGTAAATCATTTTAGTCTAATTTTTAATTAGCCACATTTATCTATTTTTATGTTGCTTTTATCAAAATTATGATCCTTTATAATCTTGATTTTTATTTCTATAAAATAAAAATGAAAGACAATAGAAAGAATATATACTTTTACTTTCTTTTCAGCTACAACCAAATATACCAGAGTTAATAATAAAACTGAAAGGGACCGAGTGGAACTTCTCCAGGATGCAGAACCTTTGGATTTTAATGCAGAAGCATTTACTGACGATCCTCTTGAGGCTGAATCGGGAAGGTAGGTTTCAGCTGTGTCATTTAGACTCCAGCATTCCACTGAAATTTTAATAAGCTGCTGATTTGTTGAGGTTAGTAATGATTTGTTGAACTTAATTGGAGTTATGCCCACATATATGCATAACAGAAAGCATTCTTACTAATCAGCTCTTCTTACACTTTGTGTACTCTAATGCATTTGTATTTTTAAAATGATAAGAACAGTGGTGGAAATTGAATTTTGTATCTTCAAAAGCTGTGATATTTTAAATAAAATATGATGAACTGAAATCATCAGATACGATATTTAAATGTAGTTTAGGAGTATAACGCATACATTGTATGGTTGTAAATTCCAGTTGAATTTTACCTTTTTTTTTGTTTATTTTTTTGGTTTTTGTGTTTGGGCCAAACCTGCAGTGCTCAGGTAAGTTATTCCTCACTCTGCACTCAGGGATTATTCCTGGCAATGCTCAGGTGACCATAATGTGTATGGTATTCTAAGGATTGAACCCGGGTTAGTTGTGTGAAAGTCAAGCACCCTACCAACTGTAATATCTCCCCAGCCTTACAATTGAGTATTTTTAGAATTTCATTTGAGGCACCATGATTTACAGGTTTCATGCATACAACAATACCAACATCACATTCTCCACAAGTGCTCACTTCCCTCCATCATTGTCTCAGCGTCCAACCAACTCCCAGCCCATCAGTCACCCCACAGTGATAATAAGCTCAATTCTGCAGACCACTTCACTATTGCTTTGGGCCATTTATTATTCCCTTTTAAGGTTTTTTTTTTATCCCACGTATGAGAAAGATCATTCTACCTGTCTTCCTTCGTTGAATTTTAATACAGGAAACTTCAATAACTCACACAGCAAATTATTGGCAGAGTCAGGTTTTTCAGATCCCAGAAGTCTGTGTGTATTTTAAGCTACTGTTTAATAGAATAATAATGAAACAAAAGCAAAATATTATGCATTAATATATTTGTTAAAATATTGCCTAAAATATAAATATAACAAAAGATAATGCTATTTACATTATTACATTATTATTTGTAGTCTATTTATATTCAACATTCAAGATTGTTACTCTCAAGTTATATGATGTTTTACTTCTCACTTCTTTTTATATTTTTAACTATTATTCTAAAAATGAAAACAGACTATGAAATAATTGATTGAATCATAATTAAGTAAATCCTTTTGGGATGGTATCCTTGAAAAGTAATGCTACTATCTAATTTCAACTAATGAATAGATTTTATAATGCTTGAAAATTATGTAGTCACTTCCTTTTAAATGTGTTCTTGTTTTTCTCTCTTCTGTTACTATTTTTGATGCCTCAAATCATTTCTTTATTCACCTTTCAGGTATCAGCCTAGTGGAAGATACCTCTCAATGTCTCGAAGCAAAATATTTGATGATGTTTAATGTTTAAACTTATAAAAAACAAAGCAAGATCAACACATTCAATCATTATGAACATCTCCATGTTCTAGAACTTACACTGGACTCTCATTCTCAGTGAAAAATATTAGGATAAAAAAGGCACTGAAAATTAATCAGATTATAATAATTTGTTTGTTGTTCATTAAATAAAATTTCTTTTTATAGGATTTATTACATACCATTCCTAAAGTGTCTGCCTAAGAAGTTCGGTTGTAGTGAAAGAGTTTAAATTCAACATGATAAAGATCAGTGTATGATGAGAGTATATAATTCAACTTCAGACTTTTTTTTTTTAGGGAAGGTCCAAGAAAGCCATAAGTCATAATTAAATATACAGTCTTATTATTTACATTCATTGTTGTTGATTTACATTTTTCGTTTTTAAAGAATGCATTGATCCTATATATCCCAAAGAAATTGAGACCTCAAATTATAACCATATATATATACAAAACCCGTGTCTTAAAACAAGGCTTACTTCTAGACACAGCTGAATGTAGAAAGCTCTTTTTCAATTCTGTATGCAAATTAGTGAGGTTTTTGCCTGTATAATTAAGATTATGTTTCAATCAGTGTGTTTGTATATTTAGCATGTGTGCTGTGATTAGGTTATATGTTATTGCAGTCTTTTTAGTAATAACAACATTCTTTTATGCTTTTGGTACTGCTTTATGAAAGACTTTTATTCAGAGAAAAATGTTCACCTGTATTACTTAGCATATTGATTTAAGTATTGATCATTCCATTCAAATCCTAAGCATTGGGGTAAATAACCAAAGGGTGCCATGAAACTCTCTTAATATTTAAAGGTGTGAAAAAGAACATCCAGTTATTTGGAGGAGAAAGTGAATCCATTTATTGTCATTACTAACAACTTGATGTAAAGAAAATGATATTAGATAAGAAATTTAAAAAACTTATTGAGTAAACATGCTTTATTATTTTAAAAAGGTTTTTTTTTCTGAGGTGAGGTTATACCCTACAGGCTCAGGGGCTGCTCCCACAGTCCCAACAGGGTACCTGGGGTAGACCATGCAGTACCAGAAGTCAAACCCAGGCTGCTCACATGAAAATCATGAATTCCAGCCCTTAGAGCTATTTTTCTGGCCCTTGAATAGATTTTTCACCTTCATGTTTAAGCCGAAGTTTGGTATTAGTTTATTTTAATGCATCAGTGTTTTATTTCACATTAAATACAGTTGAGCACATCTGGCTTGCAGAGGTTATTTTGTGGTCCTGTGATGTTTGCAACTCCTATGAATATGTGCTGTGGATTCAATCACTAGTGACTTGAACTCACTCATGACCATCTCAGTTTTACAATTGTTGTTCTATGTAATTTTTAGTATAGTTCTCAGTCTCTTAAGTATTCCATTTTGAAAATGTTGTTACCCTAACAATATAATTACATTTTTTGAAGATAATCTTTTTCAGAATTATAATTTAATTTTTTTACTTTCATGTTATCATGTAATTTTTTTTTTTTTGGCTTTTTGGGTCACACCCAGTGATAATCAGGAGTTACTCCTGGCTCTGTTGTTAAGAATGTCCTGGTGGTGTTAAGGGGACAACATGGGGTGCCGGGGATAAACCCAGGGTCAGCTGTGTGCAAAGCAAGCACCCTATCCACTGTACTATCACTCTGACCCCATCATGTATATTTTTTAAAGACAGCCCTATACAGAATGGTACTGAAAGGAATATTAAAAATACTAATTATCTTATTTTTAATTTTCATAATTCTTGAGAGTAGATTCCCATTAAAACAATAGTTACATGTGCTACCAATTACAACCAATTCCTATAGCTGCTTGAGAACAAATACATGTGTCTACTCAGAGTTTTATTGTGAAATGTTATTTTTTGCAATTTTTTAATTGACCATTAATACCTTGGGTGAATTTTATAACCTTTCAGTGCCTCGATAACTTCATTTGTGGTATGAAAATTAAAACTATGTATTTTTCCACCTCACAAAAATATTGTGAGGAAATGAGTTGATGTTTATTTAACTGATGGGGAAATGAATGCCTCAGAATGAGGTGTGGTATCTTTTGTTACTAAGAAGCTTCCAAGTTCCTAAAACAAAAACTTATTGGAATAGTCCCTAAAAGGTTTATAAAAATAGTGTTATTTTATTAGTTGGTCTTTGGGTTTGCTTTGAAATATTTCTCTTAAGTATAAAATTATTTCCACCAGGTTTTGTTATGAAACTCAGGTTGCATTGTAGGGGCAGTAAAAGAAAAGAAAATATTCAATTGCTTTTATCATAAACTCAGATAAATGGTAGTAATGTTGAAAGGAATGTACTACTTTTTATTACTAATTTTTTATGATTGTGGTCATTGAAGTATTATACAGTACTTCATAAATAGTATAGATTCCTGTATTGTTTTGAAGTTATTTCCAAAATTACATTTGGTTTTTAAAGTGATGCAGAGTTTTTGCTTTTTTTTGGTTGTTGTTTTGCAGTGCTTGGGATTGAGTCTAAGATCTCACACATGCAGGGCAAGTGATTTACTAATAATCCACATTCCCAGCCTGAGTTTTCACCTTTTACAGTAGAATTTGTCTTACAGGGTTTTTTTAATATACAGATAGGTAGGTTACCTGACAGTAAATTTGAGAATACAGGAGATAATTTAACCCCTTGAAGACTAAGAGTTCATTGCTAGGAAACTAAATTCATCCTTATTAATCTACCTTGCAGAAAAAACTGTAAAAGGAACAAAATACTTGTTTTGAGAAATTTATTAAAATGTAATGACATTACTGCAGCGCCACTAATAAATTCATGTACTCTACTATAGAGTACATTTCTTGAAGAGTTATTCTGGTAATTGCCTGTATCTTACATAATAATAGGTAACTTTAAATTTTCTAGCTTATTTTTAAAGTATTTTTCGGTGAGACAATAATTTAAAGTAAACTGTAATAGAAAGTAATAATCTATTAACTTCATTAATCATTTGTAGGTTAATAATTTTTGTTACTACATCAATAATTATAATCAATAGGGCATTTAAAAAATAAATTGTAAATTTATTTATTAGAATTTGTTCTACTGCCAAATGATTGTAAGGATTAGAAGATACAAAATACTTTATTTTGCAAGAGGGTAAAGCCCAAGTCAAAACACTCAGGAGTTTTCCAGTTATAAAAAATAGAGAATTTGACACCCTCTAACTTTGAAAAGAAATGCTGCCAAGTTATTTGTTTTTGGATCTTACTGTTTGATTAGATTATTAGTTATTTACACTGGTTGTTTATCCCACTGAAATTAAATGTTTGTTAGGAAAGTTACCGTGTGTATTTCTTAACTATATTTCAGCACATTAATGGAGGAATTTTATTTATTATACAATAACAAACCTCATTTTTAAATACTTTTAATAGATTTAAGGGATGACCCTAATAAATGTTGATTCCTTTTTTATTGCTTATTTTGGGGGTGGCACCAGGCAGTGCTTGAGGGACCATATGAGGTGCAAGGGATCAAACCCAGGTCAACCTTGTACATGACAAGTACCCTACCCACTGTACTATTTCTCCAGTCCCTAGAATAAAACTAAACTCTGTTGTTCACTCTTCAATGTGAACTCAAAACGATCAGGAATTGTGTGTTTTATAGTTGTTGTTTGAGTAGACGGTACCTGAAAATCACCAGGATAAGTATTTTTGCACTAAGAGGCCAAAAAAAAAGTCCCTAAAAATCTTAAGATACTTGAATCTGCTAGGTATAATGAAATGTTCAGAAATCAGTCGAATTAGTTTCGTATCTTTTCAACTTCCATTCCTTATTTCTTTTATAGATTCCTTTCTTTGGAGCTGCTATTGTTTGGCTTTTAATGTGCTCACAGATTTTTTCATCTATTCTATATTCACGCATTAGTTTATCTCTGCACTCAAAAGCAGATGATTGTGATTTCAAAGCCTACTTACTACTGGAATACCAGTGTTGCACCTAAAGAGGTGAAACAGATTTTGCCAGACATCTGAATATGATCCATGCTGATTTAGTCTATTGTCTCTCAAGTCATAAAGATGGATACTTTAGTCAAGTGAGGTATTCTCAGTGTAATGTGGCATAAAAAATGGATTTCAAAGATAAAAAAATAGTAATTGATTACAAACATGAAGAACCTCTTAATGAAAAAAAAATGAAAAATGACGTACATTATTGTCAAAGCTTTTGTTAGGAGAGTTCCAAACACTAAAATAGGTTTATAGGAAGTCTTTTAAAGATAGGGATTTCCTTTTTCAACTCAGTGAACTGGAAGACTCTTTTGTGTTATCCCATTTCGACTCCTAGAAGCCCCTGTGAGCCATCTCTAGCCAAGAACACACTAGACACCCTAGCCCCAGTCCCTAGATCTGGTCTCATTGTAGTGGCACCATACTTATTCCTTGATGGTCAGTCTGGTTTCACTAAAAGTTTATTTCCATGTAAAAGATGTGCCTATTGAGCTTGATTAAAAGCCTTGCAGTAATTTAGAATTTGTTAATAAGACAAATGGCATATTCTTCTTATTGACAACTTGGAAGACATTCGTTTTTAGCAAACTACATAGGGAAAACTTTTTTCCCTTGAAAGTCTTTTTTGTGTGTGGTTATCTTGATCCCAATACATTTTATGAAAAGAGTTACTATACTTAGTATGAGTGTTGAAAGAGTGACTTACTGTGGCAGACATCTGTAAGATAGTCATAATTTATTGGTATGAGTGTGTTGAGTTGTTAGTAGTAAGAAAAATCTTAATCAGCCAAGTCACCTAGAGCTGTATTTCTCAAAAGAATGCTGGCTGGCATCTTCCCTAGTATACCATATCATAGGGGAGAGACTGTGTATTTATTTTTTTTTTAAGCAATCCAATGGATTTGTTTTTGTCCATTTTTTGAAAACAACGTGAATGATTTTTCTCATTGTAGAAGACAACATATGGATCTGTCTCTCAAATTACTGTAACATATATATTTATAAATTATAGCATTGAGAAAAGATCTTTAATGTTCATGTTGTTTGTTCCTGGTATTTAATTTTTATAAAATGTTTTGTAAGTAACTAATTGTAATGTTGCTTTTAAGTAGTTTCAAGATCTTTCTTAAATGAGATCTGCATAGAACCTGTTTTCCTGTAAGCAATCTTCTGAAGTTCATTAGTCCAATGTGAATTTGAAATATACATACTTCTGTTTATTATCTTTTTATAAATACCTGTACCCAAGAAAAATATACCAAAATCCTAATTAATGTGTTGCATTAATAAAGCACTTATTTATTCATTGGATTAAATGAAATAGAAGATAAGTATTTTCAAATGTGCATCTGATCATAACTTTTCAAAATGATAATTGTGCTCATTTGTTGGTGCATGGTGCCAAATTTATCTTTAATTTGCTATTATTATCTGAAATGTAATGATTGATGTTTTATTATCTAATGGCCTGTAAATTTAATATTTTTCTCTGCACATTATCACTACATTTTCAAATGAGTATTTGGAAAAACTTACAAAGTGCTATCTAAATATATAAAAGTTAGCATCTTTGGCCTTATCTATGCATAATGTTCAGTTGGATTTTGACAAATTCATGAACTTGCAGTTGCTTTGTACTATTTTAACTTATTGTGATGTAATGAACTTTTGGAAATGTTATTTGATTTACTGATACAATATTTAAAAATGTAGCTTTGCATGGAAATAAAGTACATTTCTACATGTTACTAAGAAATTTTCTGATTGTGTTTTCTTCATGCAATCTTAGAGATTAAATTATTTTAAATAGACTACAGCATTGTTTCTTATAAATTTATTAGATATTTCAGTATGAAAGAAATTTTCAGAAAAATTAGTAAACTCACCTATTGTAGTTTCCATATTTATCTTACATTTATAATAAAATGGGTAATTATCAGAACTGGAGCAGAATTCAATAAAAATAGAAACTGGAAAATAAAATCAAATGGAAACAAATAATTAAAACTGAAAGCAGGGTGTTGGGAACTGGAGCTATAGGACAGCAGGTAGGGCATTTGCCTTGCATGTGACCGACCCGGGTTCGATTCCCAGCATCCCATATGGTCCCCCAAACAGCTCCAGGAGTAGTTCCTGAGTGCAGAGCCAGGAGTAACCTCTGAGCATCGCTGGGCATGGCCCACTGTAGCACTGTCCTCCCTGTTGTTCATCGATTTGCTCGAGCAGGCACCAGTAATGTCTCACAACAAATCGTGACACTTATTGTTACTGTTTTTGGCATATTGAATATGTCACGGGGAGCTTGCCAGGCTTTGCCATGCGGGCGAGATACTCTCGGTAGCTTGCCGGGCTCTCTGAGAGGGGCGGAGGAATCGAACTCGGGTTGGCCATGTTGGCTGTGTGCAAGGCAAATGCCCTACCGCTGTGCTATCGCTCCAGCACAGTGGTAGGGCGTTTGCCTTGCAAGCAGCCTGAATATATGTATATATGCACATATACATATATATATATATTTCTCTCTATGATTTGTTGCCAACTATCTGAACCCCATCAAATGTGGTGTGGTAATTATGGAGAATGGATAGGGAGTGTTTTATGATGTGTTGCAAGGCTGTACGATCCAGGAATATGTTTACTCATATGTGAGGCTCAGCCCGAGTACATAGGGAGACGCCTTGAGCGTGGTGGTGGTTGGGTTGCAGAGTTTTTTGGCTGCCGGAGCTGGGTCCCTTGGGAAAGGGAGGGCTCTCACCCGTCCCCCTCTGGGGTCCCCCATGTGAAACATCCTGGTGCAGAGTCCAGTGGCATGGTTATGGGGGCCTCATGTTATGCTCCCTTTCGGGAGAAATAGCCATGTCATCTGGACGGTGGCCAGTGACGAGATTATGTGATAATGACAGGAGGTGACTTATGGGAGTGACCCCTGGGTTGCCAGAGAATGGGAAAAGCAGGCAGAGGATCTCTGCTCCTGGTCCCGTTGAGACCAGAGTCCAAGGTCACAAAGTTCTGCATTACCTGGGTTCTGTAGGACTTCACTCATGTGTGAGGCTCGACCCAAGCAAGTGGGGAGTGGCCTTGAGCATGGCGGTGGTTGGGTTGTGGGGGGGGGTTGGTTGCTGGAGCTGGGTCCCATGGGGCAGGGAGGGCTCTCACCTGCTCCTCTCTGGGGCACCCTGGTCAAGACAGCCTGGCGCAGGGTCAGGACATTCTACGGCCCTCCCTTTCAGGAGTTTTAGTTTATAGTCTCTAGACCTTGGCCGTTGATGAGATTACATGCGCCAGGGGCAGGTTGTGGTGTGACTGCCAAGCTACTGGAAAACTGGGGACCTGGGGGGTTGAGGCCCAGTCCTGATCCAAGGGGCCTGGAGTAGGCAGTCATGGGTTGCTGCCTACCTCTTTGCTACAGGCCCTAACTTTGTCTTTTGATGTCTTTGAGATTTATGGGTCTCTGAAATAAGGCCAATAAATGAGCCTATATAGTTGAGCCGGAGGTGGTTTGTGGGTGTGTCTCCCACATACCTAACTTTTGGCTGTTTAAGGTAAACTTGGCCCCAAGTTGTTGGGGTCTGGCCAAAGGCACAACAGCATTTTTTTTTATTTTATTTATTTCTTTTTTATTAGTGAATCACTGTGAGGTACAGTTACAGACTTACAAACTTCCGTGATCGCATTTCAGTCATAAAATGATCAAGTATCCATCCCTCCACCAGTGCCCATTTTCCACCACCGATGGTCCCAGCATCTCTCCCACCACCCCCACCCCACCCCCCCACCCTGCCCCGCCTCTGTGGCAGGGCATTCCCTTTTGCTCTCTCTGGCCTTTTGGGTGTCGTGGTTTGCAATAGAGGTATTAAGTGGCCATCATGTTCAATCTATAGTCTACTTTCAGCATGCATCTCCCATCTTGAGCAGACCCTCCTAGCACCCTTTACTTAGTGATCCCTTCTCTATCTGAACTGCCTTTTCCCCCAGCATGTGAGGGCCACTTCTAAGCTGTGGAGTAATCCTCCTTATCTCTACTATTCTTGGGTGTTATTCTCCCATTCTTTTACTTTATATTCCACAAATGAGTGCAGTCTTTCTATGTCTGCCCCTCTCTTTCTGACTCATTTCAGTTAACATGATGCTTTTCATGTTGATCCACCTATATACAAATTTCATGACTTCATCTTTTTTAATAGCTGCATAGTATTCCATTGTGTAGATGTACCAAAGTTTCTTTAATCAGTCATGTGTTCTTGGGCACTCAGGTTTTTCCAGATTCTGCCTATTGTAAACAGTGCTGCAATGAACATACAAGTTCAGATGTCATTTCTACTATACTTTTTTGCATCTCCAGGATATATTTCCAGAAGTGGTATTGCTGGGTCCAATGGGAGCTCAATTTCTAATTTTTTGAGAATTTTCCATATTGTTTTCCAAAATGGCTGAACCAGTTGGCATTCCCACCAGCAGTAAAGGAGAATCCCTTTCTCCCCACATCCACACCAACATTGGTTGCTTTTGTTCTTTTGGATGCTGGCCAGTCCCTGTGGTGTGAGGTGATATCTCGTTGTTGTTTTGATCTCACAGTAGCAATTTTGGGGTATCTGGAAGTTTGTAGGCAGCGTCAGGCTGCTGGTGCACTTGCCCCACAGGTATAGGTTGACCTGCTGGCGGCACCATACACCCTTATAATTCATTTTAAACAAGAAGTTTGTTTAACAAGACATTTGACTTTGAAAGTAAAACAAAGGTTCATTTCCTTCATGGTTTCTTAAAGACAGATTGCCCTCATCAATAGCTACATACAAAACACATGAAATTGTCCCTTAGCTTTGCATTGATAATGGAAAGCACTAAAATTCTCCAATCAGACAGTGTATGCACAAATTTTTGTCTTCATGTTAACACTCAGAGTAGGGGCCAGAGATACAACACAGGAGTTAAGGCTCTTGCTTTGCCCTTGGTCAAACCCAGTTGTATTCCCAGCTCCACAGTGGTCCCTTGAGCACTGCCAGAAGTGACCCTAGAGCACAGAGCCAGAAGTAAGTCTTGAGCACCAGCTAAGTGTGGCCCCATTAATTTTTTGACATCTGTAATAGTCTAAAATAAAATAAGGGGCTTGAGCAATAGCACAGCGGTAGGGCATTTGCCTTGCATGCAGCTGACCCGGGTTCAATTCCCAGCATTCCATATGGTCTTCCGAGCACTGCCGGGAGTAATTCCTGAGCTCAGAGTCAGGAGTAACCCCTGAGCATGGCTGGGTGTGACCCCAAAAGAAAAATAAGCTGATTATTTTTGTGACAAAACCAAAACATTGTTTTAGCTTTAAATTTTAAAAAGATGGACAGAGCTATAGGTCAATGGACTGAATGTCTGCTTTGAATGCAGGAGATGCAGGTTTCATTCCAAGCACCTCAAGGTCCTCCAAGTACCACCAGGAGTGGACCTCCATCTCCCTCCACCTCTACCCAAGCACAAAGTCAGGGTAGCCCCTGAGTATCACTATCCAAAACCTAAACAAAATATTTCAAACATTTTTCACCACTCTGCCCAATCTTATGGTTGTTTTGGGGTTTGTTAGGTTTGGGGGCCTCACCCAGGGAATGCTCAGGGTTACTCCTGACTCTGCATTCAGGAATTACTACACACACACACACACACACACACACACACACACACACACAACTATACTCACAGAGGGAAAGCAAAAGGAGCTGAGTAATGTACTCAAGGGAGAGTCCAGCCTTCTCCAGAGATGGAGAGAGTCCCAAGTCACATCTTAGGCAACACATGTGTTTATGTGCTTAGCCATGTGGGCACAAGCAGCACAAGGTGCTTGGGGTAGGGTGGGGGGTTGTCATGTGGGGTTCTGGGCGTCAAACCCAGATCAACAGAGCTGGGTACAAGGCAAGTACCTACCCTCTGTACTCTCTCCACCTCCTAATCTTTTGGGTTTTAATATTGAATTCAGTTATTAATTTATTTGGGCTGGCTCCCTTATCATGATTTATCTTAGTGTTCCTCCACATTTAAAGTAGCAGAAACCTTTCTTATTTAGAGAAGGCCTTTTTTAGTTTGATTCTAAAATTTAACTGGCAATTAAAAACACTTCTTTGATTTTCCAGAAGTTGGTGCTATACCACAAGTTTTGGTTGTTCTTACCAGCGCTGACTCACCACTATGTTTATAGATGTTTTTAAAAAGCTGGTGACAGAGGAAAGGGAGGTGTTGACTTAATAACTAGCACTTTGTGGATGCACACAGCTTGGTAGAAAAGAGCAGTGAGTGGAGAGTTCCCAGGACGGGGTCCACGGACAAACCTCTCGACATTTCAGAGCAGACACACAAATACTTTTCCTGTATCTTTTGCCTGCCTTCCCTTTATTCCCTTGCTCTCCCCAGTTACAGAGGTCTTTCATCCAAAATTCACGTGCTTCTGGAGGGAAACATCTCCTTCCCACTGCAAACCCTGCAGCCAAGGAGTCTGTCACTTAAGATCCTAACTTCTGCCAAAGAGGTGGACAGTAGCATTGATACATTTCCAGTGCATCTTGCTGTCAGCTGGGCAAGCCCATCACTCCCTTGGCCATGACCTTCATCTTGTCTGCTCCCAAGCCTGTCTATCTGGAAGCAGAGCTGTCCTGTCAGGTAACTTCCAGTGCTCTCGTTCTCCCTTTCCCTTGCCCCTCCCCCATTCCCCTCCTCCAACGCACACACACCTATACTTGTGGAAGGAAAGCAAAAGGAAAGAGAGGAATGCACT